CTCATGATCATTGCAACTCCACGAGGTGAGATCTTGCATGGAGCCCCAGGCCGAGGGAGATTGAGTTGTTTTGTGTTTCTTCCATTTGCGAATAATCGCACCAACTGTTGTCACCTTCTCACCAAGCTGCTTGGCAATGGTCTTGTAGCCCATTCCAGCCTTGTGTAGGTCTACAATCTTGTCCCTGTCATCCTTGGAGAGCTCTTTGGTCTTGGCCATGGTGGAGAGTTTGGAATCTGATTGATTGATTGCTTCTGTGGACAGGTGTCTTTTATACAGGTAACAAGCTGAGATTAGGAGCACTCCCTTTAAGAGTGTGCTCCTAATCTCAGCTAGTTACCTGTATAAAAGGCACCTGGGAGACAGAAATCTTTCTGATTGAGAGGGGGTCAAATACTTATTTCCCTCTTTAAAATGCAAATCAATTTATAACATTTTTGACATGCATTTTTCTGGATTTTGTTGTTGTTATCCTGCCTCTCACTGTTCAAATAAACCTACCATAAAAATTATAGACTGATCATTTCTTTGTCAGTGGGCAAACGTACAAAATCAGCAGGGGATCAAATACTTTTTTCCCTCACTGTAAGTATTCAGACCATTTACTCAGTACTTTGTTGAAGCACCTTTGGCAGCGATTACAGCCTTTAGTCTTTTTGGGTATGACGCTACAAGCTTGGCACACCTGTATTTGGGGAGTTTCTCCCATTCTTCTCTGCAGATCCTCTCAAGCTCTGTCAGGTTGGATGGGGAGCGTCACTGCACAGCTATTTTCAGGTCTCTCCAGAGATGTTAGATCGGGTTCAAGTCCGGGCTCTGGCTGGGCCACTCAAGAACATTCAGAGACTTGTCCCGAAGCCACTCCTGCATTGTATTGGCTGTGTGCTTAGGGTTGTTGTCCTGTTGGAAGGTGAACCTTCGTCCCAGTCTGAGGTCCCGAGCGCTCTGGAGCAGGTTTTCATCAAGGATCTCTCTGTACTTTGCTCCGTTCATCTTTCCCTCGATCCTCACTAGTCTCCCAGTCCCTGCCACTAAAAAACATCTCCACAGAATGATGCTGCCACCACTGTGCTTCACCGTAGGGATGGTGCCAGGTTTCCTCCAGATGTAATGCTTGGCATTCAGGCCAAAGAGTTCAATCTTGGTTTCATCAGACCAGAGAATCTTGTTTCTCGTGGTCTGAGAGTCCTTTAGGTGCCTTTTGGCAAACTCCAAGCGGGATGTCATGTGCCTTTTACTGAGGAGTGGCTTCTGTCTGGCCACTCTACCATAAAGGCCTGATTGGAAATGGTTTGTCGAGATCGGTGTGGAAGAACTTGACTGGCCTGCACAGAGTCCTGACCTCAACCCCATCAAACACCTTTGGGATGAATTGGAACGCTGACTGCAAGCCAGGCCTAATCGCCCAACATCAGTGCCCGACCTCACTAATTGATTAAGCTATTCACTTTCTGTACAGTAGAATATGTTAAATCCAGACAGATTTTTAGGGAAACACTTGTGACCTTCTCTCATTGGGCTAAGCCACAGAAGAAGAGTAGCCAGCAGTTAAAGCTTACATTTTTCTGTGTTGGTAGGCCTACTCTGTCTGTGGTGGAAAGGTAGGCATAACTTTTGAAAGTACCAGGCCCAGATTCCTAATATTGTCTCAGATTTAATTATTTGCAAACAGGGAAAGTTTTGTTGCAAACAAGACACAATGATTTGGCATTTGAGAAATATGATAAAATGAACACATAGGTCTATTATTATCTCTCTGTCCATTCATAGCCTGTAATTTCGGGAAATGTGTGTAGTATTAAAACATATTCTGCTAATATGTAAAATGACGTAGGATTGCATTTTTTATCGGACCTGCAAATACGACAATAGATTCATGCTATGCTTTTAAATCTTTCCACCCCAACTCTTGTCCACGGTGGTCCGCGAACCCACAACCTTCTGTCCAGCAGCCCTATGCGCTATCAACATTGTTACCGTATGTAAAGATTACAAGACCAACATTGAACAGTTTCTAAAACTGCATATCTAAGGTTCTGGTCTGTCCAACAAGTTTGGGTAAATGGTAGATGTTCTCTGCTATCGACATTGTTTTCATTATTAATTTTGGCTATAGGGGAGGGTCACTTGATTTTTTAAATATATTAAATATATTTTGCTGAATGGAAGGCCATCCATTTTCATTCAGAAAGTTCCGATTTTCTCCATGTAACCCTTATTATTATTTTAACGTTCACCCCCTAACATGGAGATTTGGCCGTGTGGGAACCCTAACCCTATGCAATGGAACATAGTCATGATCAGGCGCTAGGTAACAGTATGATATAGGAGAGGAATAGGCGAACATCTTTAGATATAGTATGCAAATGGTCATGATATGGCAAATGTGACATAATATTGTTAACATTACATTACCTTGCTAAGTTACTATCTAACGTTAACGGTCGTTACGCTAACAAGGTTGGCTCTTGAAAAAACAAAAAATAGACACCGTCAACACACCCCTTATCAACAGCAAGTTCTGTTTTAATTTGCTCGATACTAGCTGCGCATTTAGCGAACTTGTTCATCTATTAGCCACACATTAGCTAGAAGTTGTCAGTAACAGATGTAAACAACCTCTTCTTTTCAGATATCAACATAACGGACAAATCAAACGCGACCCGAATGAGTATATTGCTTAAGTATATTGTTTTATACAATGTTATCATGTATTTAACTCAGTAAAATACCTTTTAATGCAAGTAGATGCTCTTGTTTTGCTTGATTTACTTCCATTATGTCCGGAGTTCGGTTGAACTTCCATGTGGTCGTCACTAGTTACCACAGCCACAAATAGCTAAACCTCGCCTATTTCTACAATTTATCTTCTTAAAATCTGATTTCTCGCCAATTTCTACAATTTATCTTCTTAAAATCTGATTTAAACCTAACCTAACCACACTGCTAACCTTATGCCTAACCTTAAATTAAGACCAAAAATAATTTTGTTTTCATGATTTTTTACAATATAGCCACAAAGCTTCTGTATTTGATATAGGAAGAGGCTAAGAGAGAGGGATAACAGGGACCAAAATCTGTCTTCTCCAACTGGTGGCATTATTTTTTTATTTTGCTCACCAAGTGAAGAGTTTTTGCCAATTTCGACTTTGTGGATGTAGTAACTAGTGACAACCCTTTCACCAGTTAATATCAGATGACTATAGTGAGGACAGAGGGACAAACTTGTGAGAGCCCTCTTGTGGTAGCATTGTGGTACACAGGTGACACGTCACATTTCACGTCCCTATCCTAAACGCAAACCTTAACTGTTTTAAATTTCAACTTCAGAGTTGGGACATTCCAAGGATCCCATTTCCTTTTCTTATTCAGCAACTATAAATTCATGTAAAGGGAATGCTTTTCATTTGTCACAACCACTAAAGCATGTCAATAACTTTGGTATGAAAAAAAAAAAAAGCATGAATTCTAGTAAGCAGGAAACTACATATCTTTGAAAGACAGGACCCTGTCTTTCAAAGATAATTCGTAAAAATCAAAATAACTTCACAGATCTTCATTGTAAAGGGTTTAAACACTGTTTCCCATGCTTGTTCAATGAACCATAAACAATTAATGAACATGCACCTGTGGAACGGTTGTTAAGACACTAACAGCTTACAGACGGTAGGCAATTAAGGTCACAGTTATGAAAAGTTTGGACACTAAAGAGGCCTTTCTACTGACTCTGAAAAACACCAAAAGAAAGACGCACAGGGTCCCTGCTCATCTGCGTGAACATGCCTTAGGCATGCTGCAAGGAGGCATGAGGACTGCAGATGTGGCCAGGGCAATAAATTGCTATGTCCATACTGTGAGACGCCTAAGACAGCGCTACAGTGAGACAGGATGGACAGCTGATCGTCCTCGCAGTGGCAGACCACGTGTAACAACACCTGCACAGGATCAGTACATCCGAACATCACATCTGCGGGACAGGTACAGGATGGCAACAACAACTGCCCGAGTTACACTAGGAACGCACAATCCCTCCATCAGTGCTCAGACTGTCCGCAATAGGCTAAGAGAGGCTGGACTGAGGGCTTGTAGGCCTGTTGTAAGGCAGGTCCTCACCAGACATCACCGGCAACAACGTCGCCTATGGGCACAAACCCACCGTCGCTGGAACAGACAGGACTGACAAAGTGCTCTTCACTTACGAGTCGCGGTTTTGTCTCACCAGGGGTGATGGTCGGATTCGCGTTTATCATCGAAGGAATGAGCGTTACACCAAGTCCTGTACTCTGGAGCGGGATCGATTTGGAGGTGGAGGGTCCGTCATGGTCTGGGGCGGTGTGTCACAGCATCATCGGAATGAGCTTGTTGTCATTGCAGGCAATCTCAACGCTGTGCGTTACAGGGAAGACATCCTCCTCCCTCATGTGGTACCCTTCCTGCAGGCACAACCTGACATGACCCTCCAGCATGACAATGCCACCAGCCATACTGCTCGTTCTGTGCGTGATTTTCTGCAAGACAGGAATGTCAGTGTTCTGCCATGGCCAGCGAAGAGCCCGGATCTCAATCCCATTGAGCACGTCTGAGATCTGTTGGATCGGAGGGTGAGGGCTAGGGCCATTCCCCCTAGAAATGTCAGGGAACTTGCAGGTGCCTTGGTGGAAGAGTGGGGTAACATCTCACAGCAAGAAGAACTGGCAAATCTGGTGCAGTCCATGAGGAGGAGATGCACTGCAGTACTTAATGCAGCTGGTGGCCACACCAGATACTGACTGTTACTTTTGTTCAGGGACACATTATTCAATTTCTGTTAGTCACATGTCTGTGGAACTTGTTCAGTTTATGTCTCAGTTGTTTTATGTTCTTACAAATATTTTCACTTGTTAAGTTTGCTGAAAATAAACGCAGTTGACAATGAGGACATTTCTTTTTTTGCTGAGTTTAATCATTTTATCATACAAGACATTCATAGGCATGAAATGTACGGTTGTAGCAGATATGATTTGTAGGCTATGTACTGTATACATTTTATGCAAGTTAACAAGCAACACATTGTATAACAAACTACAATTGCATTGTGTGACTTGACTGTCTCGTCAAGACATAGATGGTTAGTTAGTTACCGCCAGTCTGTAAATACAATGTTTAGTAGAACAATGGAACCAACAGTTGAACAAACAAGCTTTATGAAAACATTGGAACAGTCAGAACAAAAATAAGTTATTTTCTTTGAATAGGTGTGTGTAATACATTCGCTGTAGACCTTCATGAAGCTTCTAAAAACAGAGCTTAAGTACAGAGCAGACTGGTAAACAGTCATTAGGTTTAGCTGAGTAGCGTTACATGGAAGTACAGGTCACACACTACAGGGAGTGAAGGATGCTTTGACAGTAGAGTTCTTCCCACACTGCTGCCCTGTGCCTGTCTCAGTCTGGACAGCCTTTTAGAACACCTCGTGGGAAAGGTACCCTCCCATAAAGAAACCCCCAAGTACTGCCAGGAAATGACTGGAGAGAAAAAGATAGATGAGAGTAACAAAGAGCACGGTCTCAACAGATGCACTGCAGTTTGGCTTCGCTCTCTCCCCCTGGTTCCTCTTTGGGTCTGCGTTTCCTTGACAAAGATGGCTCCTCCCCCTCTTTGTCTTCAAGGCTTTCAGTAGAATTCTGGAAGTCCTCTGCACCAGAGTCAACACTGTACAGCTCAGGAACCGATGATTCCTCCTCCTGCCCACCCACCAAACATACATCACTCGATATTGGTACCAAATCCCCTGGGTCAGGGCCCATCTGAACCACCACCATGGTCAATGCTTCTCCCTCCCGCTCTACCCTTGTTTCACTCTGTTCCTCCTTCAGGAGAGTCATCTCCCCAGGGCCAGTGGCCTCACCGATAAGGCTGACGGTGAGCTCTGAGTGGCCGTTGATGGGTGCTGCGGTTCCTGCCTGGCGCAGTAGCTCTGTCCTCAGGGAGGCTAGCTGGGTGTGGATGAGAGTGCGGTGCTGCTCCTCCAAACTCTTCACCTGAGAGACAGACAAGGAAACAGCTGTCAAAGACTCTCTTATATCATCTAATGAGCTTCAATGATGTGTGATGTTCAGTGGATTTACAAAAGGATGGCTCCTTTTAAACGAGAAACCACTTTGCTTCAGTAGGCAATAAAGCCCTTTGACATTCCAGCTCATTAATACTATTAAAGCTCATGAATTTTAACTAAATCATACAGAATGCATAGCTCTTCTAAGAGGCTTTACACATCGTTTTACATCTGGCATGTGGCCTTGAGAGTATTCAACAAACACTTTGGATCATCACTACAGTAGCAGTTAAAAGCCTCCATTCACCAGCTGATTGATTCTCTGCTGGCTGTTTTCTGCAGAGCGGTACAGCTTCAGCTCCTCAAACATCTTGACGTTGGCCTGCACCACACTGGCCACCTGGGGGGCACCACAGCACAGGGGAGGAGACACATCAACCATGGCCACGTCAGAAGTACAGAAGTTGGAATGGACAAATTAAAATAGTCTGTTTTCCATTCAACCAAACATGTCAAAGAAGGAGGGGGGGGGTCTGGCATTTAAAAGAGATAACGTTAGTGCTTTAAACATGTTAAAATTAAACACTAACATGTTGAAATAGATTACTATTAATTTATCTTTCACACAAATTCAAATTATGATAAATGATCCTCCACAAAATGAGTAATCATGTTATGTTAACCATCTCTTTGCTGCTGTGCTGGTCAGTGTACCTGGTTTCTGAGTCTCTGTAACTCTTCCCACTTTGCGTCTCCAAGTAACCTGGCCACTTTGTCCCTGTATAGCATCTTTCACATAGAGAAAATTGTAAAACACTTTGTCCCCACTCTCACAGCCCTTGACTTTTTTCTTTATTTCATTTAAGCCCTCTCTGACACATGTCAGTGCAATGCCAGGAAAGTGGTAGGGTGGAAAAACTGTCTCACATCAGACAGCTCAACTAATCTATCTGCAGTGATTGAGGGACCAGGGAAAAGCACCGCACAGGGATGCCACCTGACGTAAGAACAATGGTCTTTGAGTATCTCAGCCTTCACGCCTCCTGTCAATGTACCTGTTCGTTAAGTCTCTGGATCTCTGCCCTAAGCCTCTTCTCCATGGCGTCCTTCTCCTGCCGCATGGTCTCGTTCTGCCGGTGGAGCTCCAGAAGATGCTTCTCCATCTGCAGGGCCTGCTCCAGACCCTCCCCGCCCTGCAATGGACAACCATAAGTACAATCAGGGCTCTAAATTAAAAATGTTAATTGGTAGCACTGGTGCTCCCAACTTAAAAAAGTTAGCACATCATAAAATTTAGGAGCACCAGAAAAGCAGACTTTTAGCTTGATTGCGATAAAACCTATGTTATAGGGATGCGCGGGTTGACTCAACACGCAGTCTCTGCGGTTACATCCGCGGGGCGTGCGGATTTAGGGTCATGAAATATTGTGTGGATGAAGGGCGGGTGGGTGACGGTCGGTTTGAATTAAAAAATATATATATATTAAAATATCCATGAATGTATAATTCTTGTGCAATTTTATTGCCAGTTTATTAGGTACACCACACCGTTCACAAAATTGTTCGCTCCTACAGACAATGTGTCACGTGGCCGTGGCTTGCTATATAAAGCAGGCAGACAGGCATCAAAGCATTCAGTTACTGTTCGATTGAACGTTAGCATAGGCAAAACGAGTGACCTAAGCGACTTTGAGCGTGGTATGATCGTCGGTGCCAGACGCGCCAGTTCTAGTATCTCAGAAACGGCCGACCTTCTGGGCTTTTCACGCACAACAGTGTATAGGGTTTACCGAGAATGGTGCGACAAACAAAAAACATCCAGTCAGCGGCAGTCCTGTGGACGAAAACAGCTCGTTGATGAGGTCGAAGGAGAATGGCAAGAATCGTGCAAGCTAACAGGCGGGCCACAAACAGGCAAATAACAGCACAGTACAACAGTGGTGTGCAGAACGGCATCTCGGAACGCACAATTCGTCGGTCCTTGTCACGAATGGGCTACTGCAGCAGACGACCACACCGGGTTCCACTCCTATCTGCTAAAAACAAGAAGAAGCAGCTCCAGTGGGCACGCGATCACCAACACTGGAAAACTGAGGAGTGGAAAAACCTTGCCTGGTCCGACGAATCCCGGTTCCTGTTGACTCATGCTGATGGCAGAGTCAGAATTTGCCGTAAGCAGCATGAGTCCATGGCCCCATCCTGCCTGGTGTCAATGGTGTGGGGAATACTTTCCTGGCACACGTTAGGCCCCTTGATACCAACGTTTTAATGCCACAACGTATCTGAACATTGTTGCTGACCAGGTGCATCCTATCATGGCTACAGTGTATATCTATAGGCTACATTTAGTTTTTTTGTTCATTATTTTTTGGCGATCTGGCATTAGTGCATAAGCCTAAGCTTTAGCCTACACGCAAATCACGAAACGCTTTAGGGAACGGACAGAAAGAGTTAAAGGGATACTTCTCGATTTTGGCAATGATGCCCTTTAGCTACTGCGTTAGCATGCTAGCAGATACCCATTAACTTCCAGTCATTGCACTAACGCTAGTTAGCATTGGCTCGCAAAACTACCTCTAACTTCCTTCATAGTGGCCACAGAGACATAAAAATGGTATCCACGAGTGCATCTGACTCTGGGGAAGTAGATAAAGCGCCTCATTGTCAAAATCCCGAGGTTTCCCTTTAACATCAATCCACTGAGGCAAAAAGGACAATGTCGGAGTTTAATTCAGTAACAGAAATGCTGCAAAATGGAGAGTTGAAAATAAAGAGAAGGGAGGGCCAGAAAAGTAATGATTGGGAAAGATTTGGTGAATTGGAAAATGCGAATGCGCAGTTAGGGACCGTAGAGAGCCATCTTTATCAGCATCATAAAAGCGTTCAACCACATAAAATATGCATCCAAGCCGAATTTTCACTTTATCACATATAGTCGGGCGATTGCGGATGGGTTATTAGCAATTGTGGACGGGTGCGTTTGAACAAACAGCTGACTCGCACACCAATACATAAGTATTCAGACCATTTACTCAGTACTTTGTTGAAGCACCTTTGGCAGCGATTACAGCTCGAGTCTTTGGTATGACGTTACAAGCTTGGCAAACCTGTATTTGGGGAGTTTCTCCCATTCTTCTCTGCAGATCCTCTCAAGCTCTGTCAGGTTGGATGGGGAGCATTGCTGCACAGCTACTTTCAAGCCTCTCCAGAGATGTTCAAATCGGGTTCATGTCCGGCCTCTGGCTGGGCCATTCAAGGACATTCAGAGACTGGTCCTGAAGCCACTTCATCAAGGATCTCACTGTATTTTGCTCCGTTCATCTTTGCCTAGATCCTGACTAGTCTCCCAGTCCCTACCGCTGAAAAACGTCCCTGCCGCTGAAAAACATCCCCACAGCATGATGATGCCACCACCATGCTTCACCATAGGGATGGTGCCAGGTTTCCTCCAGACGTGCCGCTTGGCATTCAGACCAAAGAGTTCAACCTTGGTTTCATCAGACCAGAGATTCGTGTTTCTCATGGTCAGAGTCTTTAGGTGCCTTTTGGCAAACTCGCCATGGAGAAGAGGCTTAGGGCAGAGATCCAGAGACTTAACGAACAGGTACATTGACAGGAGGCGTGAAGGCTGAGATACTCAAAGACCATTGTTCTTACATCAGGTGGCATCCCTGTGCGGTACTTTTCCCTGGTCCCTCAATCACTGCAGATAGATTAGTTGAGCTGTTTGGCCTTTAACTGAGGAGTGGCTTCCACTGTGTTTTTGGGGACCGTCAATGCTGCAGACATTTTTTGGTACCCTTTCCCAGATCTGTGCCTTGACACAATCCTGTCTTGGAGCTCTACGGACAATTCCTTCGACCTCATTGCTTGGTTTTTGCTCTGACATGCACTGTCAACTGTGGGACCTTACATTTGATCCCCTGCTGATTTTGTAAGTTTGCCCACTGACAAAGAAATGATCAGTCTATTATTTTAATGGTAGGTTTATTTGAACAGTGAGAGACAGAATAACAACAAAAAAAGCCAGAAAAACGCATGTCAAAAATGTTATAAATTGATTTGCATTTTAATGAGGGAAATAAGTATTTGACCCCCTCTCAATCAGAAAGATTTCTGGCTCCCAGGTGTCTTTTATACAGGTAATGAGCTGAGATTAGGAGCACACTCGTAAAGGGAGTGCTCCTAATCTCAGTTTGTTACCTGTATAAAAGACACCTGTCCACAGAAGCAATCAATCAATCAGATTCCAAACTCTCCACCATGGCCAAGACCAAAGAGCTCTCCAAGGATGTCAGGGATGTCAAGATTGTAGACCTACACAAGGCTGGAATGGGCTACAAGACCATCGCCAAGCAGCTTGGTGAGAAGGTGACAACAGTGGAATGGAAGAAACACAAAAGAACGGTAAATCTCCCTCGGCCTGGGGCTCCATGCAAGATCTCACCTCGTGGAGTTGCAATGATCATGAGAACGGTGAGGAATCAGCCCAGAACTACACGGGAGGATCTTGTCAATGATCTCAAGGCAGCTGGGACCATAGTCACCAAGAAAACAATTGGTAACACACTACGCCGTGAAGGACTGAAATCCTGCAGCGCCCGCAAGGTCCCCCTGCTCAAGAAAGCACATATACAGGCCCGTCTAAAGTTTGCCAATGAACATCTGAATGATTCAGAGGAGAACTGGGTGAAAGTGTTGTGGTCAGATGAGACCAAAATCAAGCTCTTTGGCATCAACTCAACTCGCCATGTTTGGAGGAGGAGGAATGCTGCCTATGACCCCAAGAACACCATCCCCACCGTCAAACATGGAGGTGGAAACATTATGCTTTGGGGGTGTTTTTCTGCTAAGGGGACAGAACAACTTCACCACATCAAAGGGACGATGGACGGCGCCATGTACCGTCAAATCTTGGGTGCGAACCTCCTTCCCTCAGCCATGGCATTGAAAATGGGTCGTGGATGGGTATTCCAGCATGACAATGACCCAAAACACACGGCCAAGGCAACAAAGGAGTGGCTCAAGAAGACGCACATTAAGGTCCTGGAGTGGCCTAGCCAGTCTCCAGACCTTAATCCCATAGAAAATCTGTGGAGGGAGCTGAAGGTTCGAGTTGCCAAACGTCAGGCTCGAAACCTTAATTACTTGGAGAAGATCTGCAAAGAGGAGTGGGACAAAATCCCTCCTGAGATGTGTGCAAACCTGGCGGCCAACTACAAGAAATGTCTGACCTCTGTGATTGCCAACAAGGGCTTTGCCACCAAGTACTAAGTCATGTTTTGCACAGGGGTCAAATACTTATTTCTCTCATTTTTGACATGCGTTTTTCTGGATTTTTTTGTTGTTATTCTGTCTCTCACTGTTCAAATAAACCTACCATTAAAATTATAGACTGATCATGTCTTTGTCAGTGGGCAAACATACAAAATCAGCAGGGGATCAAATACTTTATTCTCTCACTGTATAGACAGGTGTGTGCCTTTCCAAATAATTTCCAATCAACTGAATTTACCACAGGTGGACTCCAATCAAGTTCTAGAAACATCTCAAGGATGATCAATGGAAACAGGATGCACCTGAGCTCAATTTCGAGTCTCATAGCAAAGGGTCTGAATACTTATGTAAATAAGGTATTTCTGTTTTGAATGTTTTATAAATGTACAAAAATGTCTAAAAACCTGTTTTCGCTCTGTCATTATGGGGTATTTATTGTGTGTAGATTGCTGAGTATTTTTATTTTTAGTTAATCCATTTTAGAATAAGGCTGTAACGTAACAAAATGTGGAAAAAGTCAAGGGGTCTGAATAATTTCCTAAGGCCTATATGAATTCTAGCTACTTTTGAAGCACATGCTTTGCCCTAAAATTAATAACCCTTTAAATACATTGTTTATTTTAAAAACGCTAAAATATTGATACACATACTTTGAAGCAGAGATCTACTGCTCAGATATTTTTTAAACATGACTTAAAAAACATACGCCTAAGCAGCATTAACCTATTAAAAACAATACTGTAGCAATGAGGTTTGTGCAGTATGCTATAGGCCCAATACATTATTGGGCTCATGGTAATGACTGGAGCGTAATCAATGGAATGCTATTAAATAAATCAAACACATAGTTTCCAGGTGTTTGATGCCATTCCATTTGCTCCGTTCCGGCCATTATTATGAGCCGTTTTCCCCTTAGCAGCCTCCTGTGTTATCACCGCATATTGGCTTTGCTTGAATTGCCCTGCCAATGCATTGTTGTTTGGAAAATATTTTGATTTTTTGAGGTAGGCTATATGATCACACCGGTAATAGATCGGTTGTATTACTTGTGAGGCACAGCTGAGTGAGCATAAATTGAAATCATTTGCTTTATTTTATTTTACTGAACTGATGGTGCCTGCATCTGATGGTCAGTTTCAGCGGAGGTAGGGAGAGAGCAGCAGAGGGTTTGCCTCTCCTCGACCGTGACCAAAAAGGCGACACGTCTTCCAGCTGATGGTGAGACTTGAGTCGCATTATTTCTGCCTCACGCACAAATTCATGTTGTTACTCCTATGACCAGAGAAAGTGAAATATTACTCGATATTAAAATGGACAAAAGCCGCTAATAATAACAACAATTATTCTGGCTGATTTTTATTCCTAGTCACACTGGTGCTCCCAAAAGAAAAATACAGGTCGCACAGCAAAATATTTAGGCGCATATGTGACCAAAATGGTCGCACTTTAGAGCCCTGGGTACAATATTAGCAAACATACAGCTCAATGCAGACAGCCCAGAGCACTCAATCCTTCAAGAAAAGGGCCCTAGTACTATAGCAGAATCTGCTTACACAACAAAAGTGAATGCTGTTACCGGTTCGGTGATAATGCTGGCCGCCTCCTCGTAGATCAGGCTGCCTCCCTGTCCATCAGGGTCCATGAGAACAAGCGTCTGGGTCCGGTCCAGGGTATGCTGGGAAGGCCCCACCTCCCCTTCGGCCATCACTAGGATCCTGCTGTTCACTCTGCTGTCCTTCAACCAGAGCAGGCACCAATCACCAGACATAAGTTACTTGACATGTACACCTCCTGTGTTGGGCTCTAGGTTAACCTTTTTAGCGCCGGTGGCACTACCGCTGTAGAAAATTCAGTGGCACCAATAATAACTTTTGTAGCACAAGCAACAGGCCATGTAACACACACTGCACAATAAAACATTAACACATCTCCCACCCACACACCAGTCCCGTACTACTACACAGTGCACACTTTACAACTACTACACAACACTTCACAATTTCAACCCACCGCACCCTCTCCACATGTACCCACCACAAATCATGAGTGCATTCGGAAAGTATTCAGACCCCTTCCCTTTTTCCAAATGTTGTTACATTACAGCCTTATTCTAAAATGGATTAAATACATTTTTTCCCTCATCAATCTACACACAATAACCCATAATGCCAAAGCGAAAACAGGTTTTCAGCTATGAGACTCTAAATTGAGCTCAGGTGCATCCTGTTTCCATTGATCATCCTTCAGATGTTTCTACAACTTAATTGGGAGTCCACCTGTGGTAAATTCAATTGATTGGACATGATTTGGAAAGGCACACACCTGTCTATATAAAGTCCCACAATTGACAGTGCATGTCAGAGCAAAAACCAAGCCATGAGGTCGAAGGAAATGTCCGTAGAGCTCCAAGACAGAATTGTCTCAAGGCACAGATCTGGGGAAGGTACCAAAACGTTTCTGCAGCATTGAAATTCTTAAATGGAAGAAGTTTGGAGCCACCAAGACTCTTCCTAGAGCTGGCCGCCCAGCCAAACTGAGCAATCGGGGGAGAAGGGCCTTGGTCAGGGAGGTGACCAAGAACCCGATGGTCACTGTGACAGAGCTCAGAGTTCCTCTGTGGAGATGGGAGAACCTTCCAGAAGGACAACCATCTCTGCAGCACTCCACCAATCAGGCCTTTATGGTAGAGTGGCCAGATGGAAGCCACTCCTCAGTAAAAGGCACATGACAGCCCGCTTGGAGTTTGCCAAAAGGCACCTAAAGGACTCTCAGACCACGAGAAACAAGATTCTCTGGTCTGATGAAACCAAGATTGAACTCTTTGGCCTGAATGCCAAGCGTCTGGAGGAAACCTGGCACCATCCCTACGGTGAAGCACGGTGGTGGCAGCATCATGCTGTGCAGATGTTTTTCAGCGGCAGGGAATGGGAGACTAGTCAGAAGAGGGAAAGATGAACGGAGCAAAGTACAGAGAGATCCTTGATGAAAGACTGCTCCAGAGCGCTCAGGACCTCAGACTGGGGGCGAAGGTTCACCTTCCAACAGGACAACAACCCTAAGCACACAGTCAAGACAATGCAGGAGTGGCTTCAGGACAAGTCTCTGAATGTCCTTGAGTGTTCCAGCCAGAGCCCGGACTTGAACCCAATCTAACATCTCTGGAGAGCCCTGAAAATAGCTGTGCAGCAAGGCTCCCCTCCAACCTGACAGAGCTTAAGAGGAACGGCAGAGAAGAATGGGAGAAACTCCCCAAATACAGGTGTGCCAAGCTTGTAGCGTCATACCAAAGACTTGAGCTGTAATCGCTGCCAAAGGTGCTTCAACAAAGTACTGAGTAAAGGGTCTGAATACCTATGTAATTTCATATTTCAGTTGTTTAAATTTTTTATACATTTGCAAACATTTCTAAAAACCTGTTTTTGCTTTCTCATTATGGGGTATTGTGTGTAGATTGATGAGGGGGAAAAAAACTATTGAATCCAGTTTAGAATAAGGCTGTAATGTAACAAAATGTGGAAAAAGTCAAGGGGTCTGAATACTTTCCGAATGCACTGTATATGAAACCTTGTGTTCGACAGTGAGCAGGGTCTCAGTGTTGAGGACTGGCTGGGCCACGATGGTCCCCACTGCGCCCCCCTCTGCCCCAGAACACACTTCCAGCCCTCCATAGGCTTTAGGGTGGGCCTCCGGATTCTGGTCATAATACTGTCGGCTGTTCACCTCCTGAAAGCAGAGAAAGGAGATTGTGAATGGACAGAATATACCCTGCCATTGATAAGCATTCTAAGGTCTCTGCTGAGAGTTTACCTATGGCACTGAGGGTACTGTGCTTGCATATACACTGCTCCAAAAAATTAAGGGAACACTAAAATAACACATCCTAGATCTGAATGAATGAAATAATCTTATTAAATACTTTTTTCTTTACATAGTTGAATGTGCTGACAACAAAATCACACAAAAATTATCAATGGAAATCAAATTTATCAACCCATGGAGGTCTCGATTTGGAGTCACCCTCAAAATTAAAGTGGAAAACCACACTACAGGCTGATCCAACTTTGATGTAATGTCCTTAAAACAAGTCAAAATGAGGCTCAGTAGTGTGTGTGGCCTCCACGTGCCTGTATGACCTCCCTACAATGCCTGGGCATGCTCCTGATGAGGTGGCGGATGGTCTCCTGAGGGATCTCCTCCCAGACCTGGACTAAAGCATCCGCCAACTCCTGGACAGTCTGTGGTGCAACGTGGCGTTGGTGGATGGAGCGAGACATGATGTCCCAGATGTGCTCAATTGGATTCAGATCTGGGGAACGGGCGGGCCAGTCCATAGCATCAATGCCTTCCTCTTTCAGGAACTGCTGACACACTCCAGCCACATGAGGTCTAGCATTGTCTTGCATTAGGAGGAACCCAGGGCCAACCGCACCAGCATATGCTCTCACAAGGGGTCTGAGGATCTCATCTCGGTACCTAATGGCAGTCAGGCTACCTCTGGCGAGCACATGGAGGGCTGTGCGGCCCCCCAAAGAAATGCCACCCCACACCATGACTGACCCACTGCCAAACCGGTCATGCTGGAGGATGTTGCAGGCAGTAGAACGTTCTCCACGGCGTCTCCAGACTCTGTCACGTCTGTCACATGTGCTCAGTGTGAACCTGCTTTCATCTGTGAAGAGCACAGGGCGCCAGTGGCGAATTTGCCAATCTTGGTGTTCTCTGGCAAATGTCAAACGTCCTGCACGGTGTTGGGCTGTAAGCACAACCCCCACCTGTGGACGTCGGGCCCTCATACCACCCTCATGGAGTCTGTTTCTGACCGTTTGAGCAGACACATGCACATTTGTGGCCTGCTGGAGGTCATTTTGCAGGGCTCTGGCAGTGCTCCTCCTGCTCCTCCTTGCACAAAGGCGGAGGTAGCAGTCCTGCTGCTGGGTTGTTGCCCTCCTACGGCCTCCTCCACGTCTCCTGATGTACTGGCCTGTCTCCTGGTAGCGCCTCCATGCTCTGGACACTACGCTGACAGACACAGCAAACCTTCTTGCCACAGCTCGCATTGATGTGCCATCCTGGATGAGCTGCACTACCTGAGCCACTTGTGTGGGTTGTAGACTCCGTCTCATGCTACCACTAGAGTGAAAGCACCGCCAGCATTCAAAAGTGACCAAAACATCAGCCAGGAAGCATAGGAACTGAGAAGTGGTCTGTGGTCACCACCTGCAAAACCAGTCCTTTATTGGGGGTGTCTTGCTAATTGCCTTTAATTTCCACCTGTTGTCTATTCCATTTGCACAACAGCATGTGAAATGTATTGTCAATCAGTGTTGCTTCCTAAGTGGACAGTTTGATTTCACAGAAGTGTGATTGACTTGGAGTTACATTGTGTTGTTTATTTTTTTGAGCAGTGTATATCATGCTCACAGTGCCTTCAGAAAGTATTCATACCCCTTGACTTATGCCACATTTTGTTGTTATAGCGTGAATTCAAAATTGATTAAATCATTTTTCTTCTCACCCATCTAAACACAATATCCCATAATGACAAAAGTGAAAACATGTTTTTAGAAATTTGCACATTTTTTGAGAACGAAATACAGCATTCTAATTTACATAAGTATTCATACCCGAGTCGATACTTTGTAGAAGCACCTTTGAGTCGTCTTGGGTATGTCTGTGTCAGCTTTGCACATCTGGATTTGGGGATTTTCTCCCATTCTTCCTTGCAGATTTTTCTCAAGCCCTGTTAAATTAGATGGGGAGTGGAGGTGAACCGCAATCTTCAAGTCTTTCCACAGATTTTCAATGAGATTCAAGTCTGGGCTTTGGCTGGGCCACTCATTGACTTTCACATTCTTGTTCTGAAGACATTCCAGCGTTGCTTTGGGTCATTGTCCTGTTGGTAGGTAAATCGTCACCCCAGTTTAAGGTTGTTTGCACTCAAGCAGGTTCTCCTCAAGGATTTGCCTGTATTTGGCTCCATTCATTGTTCCCTCTATCCTTACCAGTCTCCCAGTCCCTGCCGCTGAAAAGCATCCCCATAGCATGATGCTGCCAACAATAATGCACTAGGGATGGAGGTGTGAGCATGCGGATCTGGGCAGATTAGATGTAGTCATTGTGTGTGTCTGTAAGTTGTTGTTTGTATAAGTTTGTATCTGGAGCAAAACATTTTTTTAAAGATGGCGCTTTGCGTTCAGGCCAAAGAGTATAATGTTTGTCTCATCAGACCACAGAATCTTTTGATCTCAGAGTCTTTCACGTCCTTCCACTCTCCCATAAAGCCCAGTTTGGTGAAGTGCTGTAGAGACTGTTGTCCTTCTGGCAGGTTCTCCCATCTCAGCCAAGGAACTCTGTAGTTTTGTCAGAGTGGTCATTGGGTTCTTGGTCACCTCCCTGAACAAGGTCTTTCTTGCCCGGTTGCTCAGTTTAGTCAATGGAGACCATTGTGCTCTTGGAAACTTTCAACACTCTAGAAATTGTTTTATACCCTTCCCCAGATATATACCTCATCACAATTCTCTCTCAGAGATCTACGGACAATTCCTTGGACTTCATGGTATAGTTTCTGCTCTGACATGCACTGTCAACTATGGGACTTTATACAGTGAGGGAAAAAAAAGTATTTGATCCCCTGTTGACTTTGTACGTTTGCCCACTGACAAAGAAATGATCAGTCTATAATTTTAATGGTACGTTTCTTTGAACAGTGAGAGACAGAATAACAACAAAAAAAGCAAGAAAAACACATGTCAAAAATGTTATAAATTGATTTGCATTTTAATGAGGGAAATAAGTATTTGACCCCCTCTCAATCAGAAAGATTTCTGGCTCCCAGGTGTCTTTTATACAGGTAATGAGCTGAGATTAGGAGCACACTCTTAAAGGGAGTGCTCCTAATCTCAGTTTGTTACCTGTATAAAAGACACCTGTCCACAGAAGCAATCAATCAATCAATCAGATTCCAAACTCTCCACCATGGCCAAGACCAAAGAGCTCTCCAAGGATGTCAGGGACAAGATTGTAGACCTACACAAGGCTGGAATGGGCTACAAGACCATCGCCAAGCAGCTTGGTGAGAAGGTGACAACAGTTGGTGCGATTATTCGCAAATGGAAGAAACACAAAATAACTGTCAATCTCCCTCGGCCTGGGGCTCCATGCAAGATCTCACCTCGTGGAGTTGCAATGATCATGAGAACGGTGAGGAATCAGCCCAGAACTACACGGGAGGATCTTGTCAATGATCTCAAGGCAGCTGGGACCATAGTCACCAAGAAAAGAAAATGAACGTGGTACCTTCAGGCGTTCGGAAATTGCTCCCGAGGATGAACCAGACTTGTGGAGGTCTACAATTGTTTTTTTCTTGTGGAGGTCTTGGCTGATTTCTTTTGATTTTCCCATGATGTCAAGCAAAGTGGCACTGAGTTTGAAGGTAGGCCTTGAAATACATCCACAGGTACACCTCCAGTTGACTCAAATGATGTCAATTAGCCTATCAGAAGCTTCTAAAGCCATGACATCATTTTCTGGAATTTTCCAAGCTGTTTAAAGTCAGTCAACTTAGTGTATGTAAACTTCTGACCCACTGGAATTGTGATACAGTGAATTATAAGTGAAATAATCTGTCTGTAAACAATTGTTGGAAAAATTACTTTTGTCATGCACAAAGTAGATGTCCTAACCGACTTGCCAAAACTATAGTTTGTTAACACGAAATTTGTGGAGTGGTTGAAAAACAAGTTTTAATGACTCCAACCTAAGTGTAGGTAAACTTCCGACTTCAACTGTAGGTAAATGAGATATTTATGCATTTCATTTTCAATACATTTACACCAATTTCTAAAAACATGTTTCATTATTGGGTATTGTGTGTAGATGATAGAGAAAGAAAATATTTTATCCATTTTGAAATTAGGCTGCAACAACAAAATGTGGAATAAGTCAAGGGGTATGAATACTTTCTGAAGGCACTATGTTCTATTACAGTTGTTTGGTGCCAGTACCTGTGTGACCTGTATCTGGAAGGTGGTGTGGGGGTTCCGGAAGTGGGTCTTATAGTGTTTAATAGCCTCATCTCTGCGGTTGAAGCCGTTTCGGCAGCGGTAGCAGTGCCAGTGGGCTCCCTTGAACCTCTTCTCCCCTTTGATGGTGCCCACGATCTCACAGTGATTGCAGCATCGAAGCACTATTAGGCCTGAAGGGGAGTAATGTGGGGGACAAAAAGCTTGCTATAGGGCATTTTTTTCTTCTTCTTCTACCAATAACTAAATATACATTTTAGTGAAAGATCTCTCACTGAAACCTTTTGGCAAAGTCATACTACCACTGAATCTATTATCTTATGTGTACTCCTTTGTATAGGTGTTAAAGCCTCTCACCAGCAAAGTCAATGCCCTTGTCAACATGTTTGATGCGGTAGTGAGCCAGTAAGATGACGGGGTCCTGATAGGCCTCAGCCACAGTGCAGAAAGGGCAGTGCGTATGTGTGCCCTTGTCCTTGCCTGAGCAGTTGTCATCCTGACATAGTACTGGGTTGTAGGTGTGCTCTGTGCCCCTGATCCGCACCGAAGGGTGGGCCTGAAACACAGCAGGGCAAGGAGGTCAATTCAGGCTAGACTGTGTGAGGGTGACTGTTGCTGCAGCATGTTAATCCTTATATGATGTCATTTTAACAATACAGGCCATTTACTGTCTGTAGTTAGTATATTCTTTTGTCACTAATTACATAGGTACATACTGAGCTGAGCTCTAATGTTGACAACAATAATGCTCCGTAACTTGCACTAGCTACGATTTCGGCTAGAATATTATTTATTTTCGACTAGTGGTAAATAAGTGCGTTACACTTACGGACAAACATACATGAAATAAACTAGCTACTGAGCCTATCCCCTCACGTCCAAGTTGCCACACAATTTCATAGTAGCCATTTGGGCAGAACATAACTATCTAGCTAGCTACAGTGCAGACCACTTAATAGCATATGTTTGGCCATTAAATAGCTTGCTAATGCACAACATTACAGGCGCTGGTTAGCATGCAATAAGCAGTTCCAGCTAGCTAAATTTGCTAACTGTAAACAAGACTGTCCATCCATGGCTTTCAGGACTCGACTTCACTAGACGTTTAAGAACTATGACTGATCAAGCGAGACACTTACAATAAAAGCCGACATTTTATCTGCTGAAGCTAGTATGTTTCTTCAAACCAATGGTTCAAACACATGCAGCTTAAAAATGAAGTTACCGGTTAATTTGTTTATTCAAACAAGCGAGCCAAATCACTACTTCTTCAAGTTTTATTGGCGAATCGCAACAAACGGATAGGTGCATATACCGCCACCTACTGTACTGGAGTGTAAGGCCGTTCACGACCTATATTCTCTTAACTAGCCCTACATTTCAAATTAAATCAAATAATTCCCTACAAACCTCACTACTCCCATCACCCTTGAGCTCAATTTCGAGTCTTATAGCAAAGGGTCTGAATACTTACATAAATAAGGTATTTCTGTTTTTTATTATTCTGTCTTGCCATAGAGATCCGGCATTTACAAAATTACACTGATAGGCCCAAGGCAGGTGCTATAGTAATCAACTGAAATTCCAAACTTTGAACAAGCATATCTCCTGTCCTGTTTGAGCTTGAATTGTTGTCACTAATTGGCCCAAGGGGGGGGGGGGGGGGGGCATCATTCATGGGGGACAACATGTTTACTGTTGCCTTGTTTAGTTCTTAGCATACACTACACTTCCACACCTCATCCCTATCGGGCAGTGGCAACCGGACCACCACCAGGCGCTGCCAGGCCTGATGTGTTGGGGAACGCCAATCAGGTGTCAGGAGCCTCTCGGCCTGGTGGCCTGCCAGTGTTTGTTTGTGGTTAAATGTTTTGTTTTGGCATGCCAGTTTTGTAACAAATACAAATTAGACCAATCATTATTGGTCACCATATTTGAACGTCATTGCTTGGGGTGGCCGACGAGAGCGTCAAGACCGATCTGGCCCTGGATCCAGGTATGTTTGCTGTCTCCTGAGTACACCCACATACAACATGGTCCGCTTACTTCTCACATTAATGCACACATTTAATCAGGTTACAGATCATTCAGTCAGGCCTAGGACCCAAAGACTTAGCGAGTATAGCAACATCAGTAGGCTAGGTCATGGGGTAGAGACCTGACAAAGACCATTCCCCTGGTCTTCCAGATTGGGGGTTGTGCGCAAAACATGGTTACAGAAACCTCAACAGACTATGTATGCACTGATGAGGCCCTTTGCGCCACTAGAAGCTAAAAGGAATACGTCGTCATAATTATTGTTGAATAACTGATTTTCATATCAGCATTTGGAAACTTCTTGTCCTTCTCACAAATAAGTGCATTTTATCATGTTTGTATCATGTTTGTAATATACTTATATGGTAAATTTTTCCATTGGTTGATCTGTTCAAAAGTACTACACAGAATTGAAAAAAGGTGTGCATCAATGAAACAACATTGATTGTTTTGCAATGACAGACTTTTATTAATTAATGAGGGAAGCTTTCCATTTTCTTTCTATTTTAATCTATGGAGTAAAGTTGGCTAAGTGGAATGACGATCATGCTGCTTTTCACCCAGTCTCTCCACTTTCCTCCGGTTCACTCTTCTTAGTCGTTTGACAGCTTCAGAAAGCATCTTCTTATTTTGAGATTGCTCCCTCCTCATTCTCTCAATTTTATTCTTCAGTTTCAGGTTTTCCCAGTAGAGGTCCTTAGGAAAACATAGAGAAACATAAAAATACAAATTCAGAATATGCATTGCAGCATCTATAAAATCTATATTTTTCACTGGCAGAAAGATATGATCACGTAGTCCCCAGCTTACATTTCCTTCCCTCACCACCTAATTTTACAATGTAGCTCAGACCAAATGCATATGAGGTGAGCTGCAGTGTTAACATTTTAAACCATGACTGCTACTACATGGGAAGGATATCTTTACCTCTTGGCTCTGGTTGTTATTCACAGAGTCGCTCTGTAGGTGAAAACACCTCTCTTGGAGAATCAGAAGATGACAGGCTTCCTCCAAAGCATGCTGGGTAGCACTGATGGTTGACGAGAAATGCTTGATGAACTTCGGGTCCACCTGAATCGGAGGGACATCAAACAGCACCAGTGTGAGATGAAATTATGGAAGGAAAACTGAGTAGTGCTTTTATCACATTTGCATACATTCATCGTAAACATAACATCTCAACTATATAGTGGTTTGGGGATTATAATAATCACAATATTGAAGCCTGTGGTATTTCAATTTCCACCTAGGGATCACAACAAATTCAAATTCCGGAAGACTCACTGCTGACTGTGACTCGGGATGGGAGTTGTTGTGTAGTGATCTTATTGGTCAGTGTCTTCCCTTCTGATATTAGTCTCTGCAGGTGATGTAATTGTCTTCCTGGCCAGTGACATGAGGGCTCTTGTCATAGACCCACAGTTGGGATAAACTACTGTTCAGTAAGGATGTGGCTGAGTCGTCCATGCTGGAGTAATGGCTGCTTTGAGAAAGGTTGTCCTTCTTGGCATGATCTCTTCTACCTGATGTAACAATAAAAACAGTGGTGATAAAGTCACTGAAATTAGTTGAATTTTATATTCAAGTCAACCAAGGTTTTGCCTTTCCTAAGCGGAAACGTGCAGTATCTTTGACTTGATTACTAAAATGTTACATTTCTGTACACTTCATGGTGATATGAGGGCCATCAAAGCCATTTCAATGGAGCTTCGACTGAAAATATGCTGCCATTTCTTTTTACCCCATCATCATACTTAATGATCACTTAGACATTTCACAGTTCTTACTTGTACCTGAAGGACTGCTCCTGTTTGAATGCCTGGACGCACCACACGCCACATAGTTGATGATTTTTGGACGGCACTCGGGCCAACCAGAATGCTCAGGGAGTTTCTCCTCTGTGGCTTTAGTCTGTGTCGTGTCCTTATCGGCAAGCTGTCCTCTGATTTGCTGGATCTCAGAGAGGAGTTGATTTAGCTTGGGGTTGTCCTGGAGACCGCCTCCAAACTCTGTTGCTGGGTAAGAGAGTAGCCAATGTCACTCAACAGAATCAATGTCACATCTATCAAGAATAACTACATATGGAGAGAGAAAGTGAGGGACCGTCTTGTATACAGTACCAGTGGCGTTGACTGCAGCAGTCCTCATCTGCTTGGACCCCTGCATCTCCACACACAATGACTTGAGGAGCTCATGGCAGTTGGTGAGCTGTTTTTGATAGGCATCGATCTCTCCCTTCAACCTGTGAAATAAACTCACATCAAGTCTTCTATTTTGACTGTCGACATCTAACTCAATCCGCCTGATAGCCAGTATTTGTGTTTTAGCTTTCGCCATATCCTCTGCATTTACGTTGTCAAGCCAAAGAAGCTCTGCCTCAGGCTATAATTCAATGGATTACTAACAGCCAAGGCTGGGATGAAGGAGTCTGGAGATTGGACGCTATTTCCTATACTTATTTCCTCCTACCTGTCTATTTCTTTCCGTGTGGAGCTGAGTGAGCCCTCCAGGCTCTGTTGTTGTCCTCAGAGCGTGCGACCCCCTCTGTCAGCCTCTCTCTCTCCTCCCTCAGCGCTCCACTCTCTCTCGCTCCACTCTCAACTACAGCCTCATTCAGTCTCTCTGTCTCAGCATGCACACATGGACATCAGGACAAAAGCATGTACAGTAACAGTTCACTCCTGATTATTCCCTCCGAACAGTCACGCAGTTAAAGTGTGTTCACCACCACTTGACTAACTAGGTTGTAAAATAATTTGTTTTCGTGTAACTCTTCCATTGATATTAATGCATGATTTACGTGAAAGTTAAGCGTGCATTATGATTCGGCCCTAATTAAATAAATAATTAACCCTATGTCTGACTGACCTGGGTGGTTCTGCCTCATCTCTGTCCCTGCCTCCTGAGCTCCTGTCTGGGCTGCTGCCTGCTGGGCCCTATGGTTCTCCAGTTGCTCATGGAGCCTCCCGTTGGCCTGGGTTATCTCCTCCAGCCTCAGGATCTCCTGCTGCTGCTCCTCCATTCCTTCCTCCATTGTGAGTGAGGTAGAGGGAGTGAAACTGCATCCATCGCCTCCCTCTCTCTGAGCCATTATGGCTCTGCACAGGTCCAGCTGGCTGTGCAGGGTCTTGTTGAGTCTCTCGCTAGCCCTCAGTCTGTCCAGCAGACTGCCATTCTCCTGCTGCAGGAGCTGGAGACACCTCTCACACCTAGTCGGGCCAGCCTTAGCAGGAGGAACTGAGAGGAGGGCGGAGGACAGAGTGAAACAGAAAATAAGAGAGAGGTAGGAAGAAAGGAAAAGAGGAATGAGAGTGTAAGGAGGTCTTTATGAGTCTGCCACAATTACATACTTCAGCTACAGACAGTCCCAGACCACAGACAGACCGCTTACACTCACCTTCACTGTTCTCTCGGATGGTGTGTTTGTCAGGGTACAGAGTCTCTCTCTGCCACAGATTACTTCTACCCCTCTCCCTCTGGACTGCAAGCTGCTTTAGGCCCTGATCAAAAACCCACAGTAAGACAAGTGTAGGAAATTGGAACTTCAGTTTACTTCCTGAATTTATTGAATTACAACGGAAATTAACCCAGTCCTGATAGTCACATCTACAGTACCTTGATGACCTGCTCCCTCTCAGTCAGGAGTTGTTTGAGTTCAGAGACCTGAGTCTGTGCTGTGGATAGCTGCTCCTGCCTCTTTCCCATAGTCCTTAAGCTCCAGCGTGTGCTTGGCCAGAATCTGGCTGTGATGTTCTCTCAGCTTCTTCAAAGAGAAAATATAAATTTGTTTCTGGCAGCCTTGTCTCAACGTCTGTGGTTAAAGGAAAGAGAGGAGACAGACAATTTTGGCCACAGGTAGTGTACTATTATGCATAGGGAATAGGGTGACATTTGAGATGCACACCTACAGTGGGGAGAACAAGTATTTGATACTTGTTCTCCCCACCTACAGGAAACGTATGATCTCTGTAATTGCAAACAAAGGTTTCTGTACCAAATATTAAGTTCTGCTTTTCTGATGTATCAAATACTTATGTCATGCAATAAAATGCAAATTAATTACTTAAAAATCATACAATGTGATTTTCTGGATTTTTGTTTTAGATTCTGTCTCTCACAGTTGAAGTGTACCTATGATAAAAATTACAGACCTCTACATGCTTTGTAAGTAGGAAAACCTGCAAAATCGGCAGTGTATCAAATACTTGTTCTCCCCACTGTATCTGTGGCTCTGGCGGAACCTATTCTCTTTACCTTGAACATCTGTTCATTGACAGTGATGTAAGACATAAACTTCTCTACTGTGAGTTTGTAGTTTGTCAGCTGCCTCGCCTTGTCTGCTGTGTTCTGCATGAACAGGACGTCCTTCTCTTTTAACATCTGATCCAGTTGCCCCAGCTTCCTACTGCTGTCCTCAGTGTAGCTCTGTAGTTTCCGTTCTGCCAGTTGATTTTCTATTAACAGTTTGTCCTTATCGTCAATGGTTTGAGCCAAAATGTCAGTCTCCTTGAGTCTCTGTTCCAGCTGCTCCACCTTCCTGTCACTGTCCTCTACTTGACCCTGTAGTTTCCTGTCTGTGAGTTGATTGTCCTGCAGCTGTTTGTCAGAGGTTTGAGCCAAAATGTCCTCAGTTTCCTTGAGTTTCTCCTCCAGCTGCTCCAATTTCCTGTTGCTGTCCTCAGCTTCACCTTGCAGTTTCTCAATTTCAAGTTGATGGTCTGTCAGCTGTGTCTCCTTTTCCTGGGTTGTCTGAACCAAAATGGCTTCTGTCTCTTTGAGCCTCTGTTCCAGTTTCTCCAGCTCTTTGTTGCTATCCTCAGTCTGGCTATGCAACCGGCCAACCATGATCTGGGGAGAGAGATGTGAAAAACAGTCCAGAAATAGGTTGATTAATTTCACAACATTTTACTTGACATTTCACCAGAAATGAAATTGTTAAATGGAAATTACATAAGAATGACCAAATAATGACTTGGATTGTCACTCTACCTCTGATTTCCTGTTGACCACCTCCTGTAGCTGGGAGATGATAAAGTTTTTCTCCTGGAGCTCCTGGTCCAAACCCTTCATCACAGACTCTAAAGACTACAGGAAAGTGACAGGAAATTATATTTAATGTTCTATCACTTAGCACCATATATATTGCAGTAGGTTGAGTAGCTGTATCATCAATTAAATTAGTGGCATATTATAGTAGACCATGGGTCTCCACTCCACCGCAATCACTTGAGAGTTATGCACATACAAAAAGTCCATATAGACGAGGGGTGTCAAACATACGGATCCAGCCCGTGAGGGGATCCAATCCGTCCTGCGGGTGGTTTGAGTAAAAATAAAATATATAAAAAACTGGATAATGGACCTACATTTATGATTTCTTGACTGTGTCCAGCTTGCTAATAATCACTGAAATGAAAGCTAGACAGTCTAAAAATTATGGATAGAGGACTATCTTTAGCATATTTTGACAATGAGGAAATAATAACACATTTTCAGTGCAGCCCTCCAGACCTCGTTGAAGACCGAATGCAGTCCCCGGGGCAACATTTATTTGGCACCCCTGATATAAACATAGTTACAAAATAACAGCTTCCTAGGTTTGAGACCCGTAGTCTATGTGACTCTTGTATGAGGAAATACATTCCTTATAGATTTGCTCTAAAAGGCGTTAAAGGGATACTTCGGGATTTTACGTTAAAGGGATTAATTGGCAATGAAGCCCTTTATCTAGTCAGATTAACTCATGGATACCATTTTATGTCCCTACATCCAGTGTGAAGGAAGTTAGAGGTCGTTTTGCGAATCAATGCTAACTAGCGTTAGTGCAATGACTGGAAAACTATGGTAACAGCTAGCATGCAATGACTGGAAGTCTATGCTAGCTGTTACCACAGATAGAACAATGAGCCAGATGTTTCATCGGATGTATAAATCTGAACCATCCGGCTGGCATTTCCACTCACCACCAAATATGGTGATGAGAGGAAGCTCAGTGGCTGGCAGTGGGAGAAGATGAAGCGAGATGGATTTTGTCCGACATTCTGCTAATTTTCTAATCGATTAAACATTTGGTCTCAATACAGTTTTCTATTCCCAAAACTAGAATCTGTTACGAACATAGTAGACTAAGATTTGTAGACTTTATCCTTTGCCAAAGTTTTTAAAATGTTTTTGTTGTTTACAAGGATTGCACATGTGCACTTCACAGAGTAGGTGTTCCCTAACGGAAATATGCAAATACATGCTAGAACACGCCAATAGGATCTCGCTAGTTCATGCTTGGCTCTGCCTACCTCCTTGCTTGTTCTATGATTAATTTGCTCCCATTGGAAACGACGGGCTATCGTCTATCTTGGGTTAGTTAAACAAATATTTGCTGTTACCATAGACTTTCAGTCATTGCGCTAACGCTAGTTAGTAATTGCACTACCACTAGTTAGCAACTCCCTTCAAACTGCACTCAGAGATGGTATCCACAAATTCATCTGGCTCTGGGGATGTAGATAAAGGGCTTCATTGCTAAAATCCCAAAGTATCCCTTTAAGAGGTTTTATGTTACCTTTAGCATTGATACTAATAATAAAATATGCCATTTAGCAGACACTTTTATTCAAAGCGACTTACAGTCATGCGTGCATACATTTTATGTATGGGTGGTCCCGGGGATTGAACCCACTACCTTGGCGTTACAAGCGCTGTGCTCTACCAGCTGAGCTACAGAGAACCACCTGATACTGATGGCAGACTGGAGCTCTTCTACTGTGAGTTGGTGATCAGTCAGCTGTCTCTGCTTATCTGCATTGAATTGAGCCAAAATGTCCTCCGTCTCTCTCAGTCTCTGTTCCAGTCGTTCTAGCTCCCTGTTGCTTTCTTCTGTCTGGCTATGGAACTGACCAGCCATGACCTGAAGAGATATTACCGAAAATATGAGAGAAACTCTGAATGAGTTTAAGCTTAAAGAGGTAGTTAATTTTTGTTTTTTTAGCTCATTTTTTACTTCTCTAGGGTGTTTCTTCCTCCAAACCATTTTTACATTCGCTAGCTGTTTATTTAGCAACATCCAGAATCTCCTGGCTTGCATTTTTGGAGAATATAGCAATTCAAGTGGATGGTGGATTGTGTCAGTTAGCTCTGCATTCAAATGCATATGTGTCCTCCTGTACCTCAATGTCCTTGTCCTTTGTGTCCAGAGCATCCTGCAGGTGTGCAATGGCCTTGTCCTTGTCTTGTAGTGTCTGGGACAGGCTCTTCTCCAGTTCCTGCTTGGTTCCCTGCAGGCGCTCAAACACACCCCTGGTCTGATCCATTTCCACCTCTCGCTCTGGCGTCAGAGCACCCACACTCTGCTCAACTCAACACATTGTATTATTAACATTAATAACATACAACATCAAAAAATAAAGACGAATGAATATGATATATCAATTCGTTATGATATATCACAGGGGAGATAGTATCACCAGAGGGGCAGGCAAGTGAGGCAAACATACATTTATCAGATGTTGACAGCAAGACAGCTGGTCGTTCCTATCTTGCAGATCGGTTAGCTTCTGCAGCAGTAGAGACAGCTTTGAAGAGCTGTAATTTCCTTTCCCTTTAATGGCAGTGAGGATTTCATCCTTGGCTCGCTAAGAAAATATAGGGACTTTCTTATCCATTAACAAACACAATCAATATGTGGTTAAGTACTGGAATCACCACAAGGAAATAACAGTATGCATTGAGGCCAAGTATTGTATGTTTATAGCTATTAGCATCTTTGATGTGGGACAGGAGCTTTCGATCTATTCTATTTCTAACAAAAAACAAAGGTATGGAAACTTACAATGCGCAAAAGCCCAATGAAAGTGTATGTGACTTTGGGAGAATCTCAATTGCATACATGCGTCCTCTCTCCTTTACTCCTTCTAAAAACCCATTGGATGAGAAAGCCAGAGGTCCCGCCCCTCTGATCTTCTCCTCCAATGGGTGTTGAGATGGAGGCAAGGAGAGAGGACGCGAGGAGTATATAATTGAGATTCTCCCTGTGAATCTCACCTCAGAAGCCTCCTTCACTTCTTCAAGCTGCTGCTGTAACACTGACTCCTGCTGGTGACGAGTGGTAATCTCAGGGCATGTGGACACATGGCCCTGCTGAGAAAGAGAATGTTAAAATTGGTTCACGTTTACACTCCTGTGTAAGTTATCCTGTGAGTGAACATATGCATTGACAGTCCATGGACATTATATAATACCATACGTGTATGCTTTTTTATACAGTGCTTGATTCTGGCTTTTTGTAGGCCTAATACCTGTGGCAGTTTATATTTTTCCGGCATTGAGCAGTTGAGTGTCTTTACTGTGGCTTCCAGCTCCTTCAGTTTAATCTCATTCTCTGTTAGGAGGAAGTCTTTCTCTGACATCTCTTTGTTGGACTGTTCCAAAGCATCCTGGAGCTCCTGGTAGACAGAGGAACATAAATGTATGTAAGTTACAGTACCTTAACAGATGGCATATAATAGTGATCTGCTTATCTATGCTGATAAAGCTGATCAGTTTATCAGTTCATCAATTTCATGTATTAAAAAAAACATGTGAAGAATTAAACAAACATGTCACAGCAGAAGTGGATAATTTAACTATATTAAAGAACAGAGGACCCGGAGGGAAAAGGTCTGTGTGTTACCTTCATCTTTGAGTCATATTTGATCTTCTCATTGGCCAGTTCATTCTCAAGAGTCTGGGGGGGAAACCAACAACAACATACTCAGGGATGGATATACAGTATAAGAGCTACACAATAGATTGATGGATCTATACACAATAGTTTTGGTCAGTATGAATAGCTGCGAGTTCTTACATGGATTGTATCCTCGTGGCTAAACAGCAGGTTGTTGAGGGTTAGCAGTTCCTTCTCCTTCTCCTGCAGATATGCCTGGAGCTGGCCTATCATGTCTGTCTCTCCATTGCTTGACTAAATGAGAAAAGGCACAGGGGTTAAAGATGGGTCAACTTGACAATATATAACCTCAATAACTCCATTACATTGGAATTTAATTAACATTTATGTCATTTAGCAGATGCTCTTATCCAGAACAACATATAGTCAACGCATTCAACTAAGGTAGATAAGTCAACCACAAAACAATTGTGGAGATGCCAGGGATTGAACCCGGGGCACCACACATGCAAAGCATGCACTCTACCACTGAGCTCTACCACTACTGCATCCCCTTCTTACCTCAACAGCCTGTTGCTTGTCACTGTCTTTTTCATGTAGCTTGTGGTTGAGTTTCTGGATGGCAGCTTCCTGCTCCTTGACTTTAAACTCACACTCAGCCAGCTGAAAATCCTTCTCTGCCATCATATCCCGCAGCTCCTGAATAGTAGAGTTATCAACACCATTACTTTCATCATCACAAAAGTATTATAGATTCAGGATATCTAGTGATTCTCTGTTCTTGCAACAAACAAGTTGTACTACGTATGTTATGTTAACTTTCGTTTTTGATTGGGATGTCCAATTTGGTTGCATAGTGCCTTCAGAAAATATTCACACCCCTTGACTTTTTCCACATTTTGTTGTGTTACAGCCTGAATTTAAAATGGATTAAATTGAGATTTTTGTGACTGGCCTACTACACACAAAACCCACAATGTCAAAGTTTCATAAAGAATGAAAAGCTCAAATGTCTTGAATCAATAAGTATTCAACCCCTTTGCTATGGCAAGCCTAAATACATTCAGGAGTAAACATTTGCTTAACAAGTCACATAATAAGGTGCGTGGTGAAGTTATTAATTACACTTTGGATGGTGTATCAATACACCCAGTCACTACAAATCTACAGGCATCCTTCCTAACTCAGTTGCCGGAGAGAAAGGAAACTGTTTAGGGATTTCACCATGAGGCAAATGGTGACTTTAAAACAGTTACAGAGTTTAATGGCTGAGATAGGAGAAAACTGAGGATGGATCAACAACATTGTAGTTACTACACAATACTATAAAAAATAAAAAATATTCCAAAACATGCATCTTGTTAGCAACAAGGCACTAAAGTAATACTGCAAAAATGTGGCAAAGCAATTAACCTTTTGTCTTGAATACCAAGTGTTATGTTTGGGGCAACTCCTTCAAGCATAGTGGTGGCTGCATCATGTTATGTTAATCGTTAAGGACTGGGGAGTTTTTAAGGATAAAAATAAATGGAATGGAGCTAAGCACAGGCAAAATCCTAGAGGAAAACCTGGTTCAGTCTGTTTTCCACCAGACACTTGGAGATGAATTAACCTTTCAGCAGGACAATAACCTAAAACACAAGGCCAAATCTACGCTGGAGTTGCTTACCAAGAAGACAGTGAATGTTCCTGAGTGGTCGAGTTACAGTTTTGACTTAAATCTACTTGAAAATCTATGGCAAGACCTAAAAATGTGTGTCTAATCAAATCAAATCAAACCAAGCTTTATTTAGTCAGCACATTTCAGACATGGAATGCAACGCAATGTGCTTCACAGGAAAAACATTGAAAAACAATGAAAATAGAAACTGAAATATTTACTACACAACAAACATAAGAGGATAAAAAAAGAAATGAATAACAATAAAAACTGAACTACTAAAAATCAACCTAAGGAAAATTAATGATCAACCACCAATTTGACAGAGCTTGAAGAATTTTGAAAAGAATATTGGGCAAATGTTGCACAATCCAGGTGTGGAAAGCTCTTAAGAGACTTACCCAGAAAGACTCACAGCTGTAATCGCTGCCAATGGTGCTTCAGGGCTGTGAATACTGTGAATACTTATGTAAATGAGATATTTCTGTATTTCATTTTCAATACATTTGCTAAAATATCTAAAATGTCATTATGGGGTATTATGTGAAGATGGGTGAGAGAAAAAAAAAAAAATTTCAGGTTGTAACACAACAAAATGTGGAATAAGTCAAGGTGTATGAATACTTTCTGAAGGCACTGTAGAATTGTATACACATATTGAATATAGAACTACGTCCAAAATGATGTGGCTCATCCAACCTTCAGGTGTCTGTCATATTTCCTCTTCTCTCTGCCATGATCCTGTTTCAGAGCCTGAGAAATAAAGGTTTTAAAGGTCAGTGACTGACACAAACTCACACACACACACACGCACACGCACTGACCTGCAGGTCCATCTCTCGCTGAGTGATGAGATACGACAGCTGACGGTTGGGGTCTGCTGTTGGCTGGTCTCCGCTACCCTGGCCAGCACCACTGTTCCTCAGCTGGTCTATTAGAACCTCCTGGGACTTTACAGATGCCTGCAGCTGCTCTATCAGCCTGTGTGAGAGAGAAGGAGAAGGAGGTGGAGGAAGAGAGAGAGATAATTAAAGAGGGAGAGAGAGGTAGTCCATTGGTGTAATGTGTAAGGTCAAACTTTGTTTGGTGTGTGATTCTATGGAGGGATTAAAATAAACCAGGAGGTCTCTAGTCTCTCCTACCGATCTCTCTCTTCCAACAGGCTGAGCAGGTCCTGGTACTGCTCCAGGTTCTGATCTGGGTTCTGGTCCTGGGGTAGAGGGTCAGTCTGGTTGGGGGCGTCCGACTGGGAGTGACCCTCCCCCTGAAGCTCGGTAACCAGCTCCAGGCAACGCATCCTCTCCTGCTCCAACATGGCCGTCACCTTTCCCACCTTCACTCTGGACGAATCCAGATCCTGGAAATAAATGGAAACAATATTCAGCAACTATTGGAGGACATTGGAGAACACTTGTTTATGGAATACGCAGTGGCGTGTATTGATGGATGCCGAGGGAAGCCAGGCTTTCCCCCCCCAAAATAGAAAAAAAAGATACAATCTTTTATATCTTTCGTCTCTCTGTTTTTCATATTTTCCTTCAATTCGCAAGAGGCTGAATGTATCTCACCATAGAAAGCCTCCGAGCGAGCGAAACAGCGCCCCTCTGTCTCTGTATGTGTAGCCCATCTATCTGATGCTGTCCGGTCAAAAATAGTAAGATATTGTTGCCACCCGTAGCATTGAATTCAAGGGAAGCCAGTTAGCATTTGGCCTCCCTTGATTTAAAAAAATGCAATAATAGCCAATCACCGTCGAGCTAAACTAAATGAACTGAACTGTGAATGGTCCTGGCGCACCAAAAAAAGGTGTCAAGGGAAGCCAGTTTGGATTTGGCTTCACACCAAACGTCACTGACAGAAAAAAACATGAATTGTTGCATCTCGTTGTTGTCCTCCAGTGGCTAGCTAGCTAAAATTGGCCCTTTCCTAAATTAGCCATGGATGGAGATAGGTATTTGGACTTGTGGTTTTACTTAATTATCCGTACTGGCCAATGATTATAACGGCGATTCTGATCCAACCATAAATTCATACATTGTGCCCCTGGCCTCAGAGGATAGAAGTTCAATATGTAGCTATATGTAGTAGGCTAATGTTAACTAGCTGGCTAATCGTTGCCCATGAAAGGAAGTTAGGCTAGCGAGCAAGCATTTTAGCCAGGTAGCCTAGGACAACAAAAACTAAAAGCGTGTACTGTATAACAGAGTCATAGACCGGGAAAGGAGGATGGCATTGGCGTTTCTCTACAAGTAGGGTGAGTCAACCTGTTGTTTCTACTTATGCACACACACACACACACACACACACACACACACACACACACACACACACAAATAAGAACCATAGCCAGCCACATGATATTTAGCTTATGTTGATTGGACTAAATTGTTTTGGGAATCTTTTTGTTACTGTAACTAAGCATAGGTTTGATGATGTTGAAATGCTGAAGTTGAAATGGTGCTGGAATAGTGGAGGCAGCTCCTGTTTTCTTTGTGACTCGTGGAAACTCTCCGGTGTTGGTTTAGTAGTCCGAAAATGTCGGAAACATTAACTTGATTGACCATGCTGTAGGTAATGTACTGTTTGTTACATGCAATATGCTTTGTGGGCTCCCCTGGACAAATGTTTCTCTCCGCTTTTGTGATTAAACAAAGGCTTGGCTGAATTTATTCTACCACTGTGTCTTCTCATTATCTCGGCCTTAGGCCTATATATCATGGTGGCAAGGCATATGAACTAACAGGTTATAGGGCAAACAATGCAATTATCACAACAAATACAGGTTGTACTATGGCTTTCTTTTCCTGGCTGGGCTTCCCCAGTGATTTTTCCCACGCACCGCTACTGGGAATACGTCTTCTACGTCTTCATTCTAAATGCTAAGATTGAACTGTTTTTTTCAGATACCTTCTCTAGCAGCTGGATCTTGGTGTTGCCGTACTCTCTGAGCTGCTCCATTTGATCTGGGTAATTTTTACTAGATCATACAAAACGCAGGCAGATTAGATACAATACCAACCAATTGTATTTCTATTCGGTCAAAATTAAATATCCTCGACCAAACTTACAGTGCAAGGGCAGAGACACTCTGCAGCTCCCTCATTTCCTCTTCCAGTGTTACAACTTCTACCTTTAGGTCAATGTTCTGTGTTGACACAAAAATACATGGAGTTATTCAGTAGGCCTACCATTACAGCATTTCTACAAAGTAATTACTTTGTTAAGATCTGTCTCTGATCCCGAACACTCACTGTTTTGTACATTTCCTCGACAGAGTCGTCACACCTCTGCTGCAGCAGCTCCTCGTAGAAGAAGATGCGGAGCCTGAGGTTGAAGTTGTCCTTCTTTAGGTCAGAGATGATATGAGAACAAGTGTGAGGAGAACCAGTAGTGTTAGCACCAGAGATACACTATACAGTGGGGGAAAAAAGTATTTAGTCAGCCACCAATTGTGCAAGTTCTCCCACTTAAAAAGATGAGAGAGGCCTGTAATTTTCATCATAGGTACACGTCAACTATGACAGACAAAATGAGGAAAAAAAATCCAGAAAATCACATTGAAGGATTTTTTATGAATTTATTTGCAAATTATGGTGGAAAATAAGTATTTGGTCACCTACAAACAAGCAAGATTTCTGGCTCTCACAGACCTGTAACTTCTTCTTTAAGAGGCTCCTCTGTCCTCCACTCGTTACCTGTATTAATGGCACCTGTTTGAACTTGTTATCAGTATAAAATACACCTGTCCACAACCTCAAACAGTCACACTCCAAACTCCACTATGGCCAAGACCAAAGAGCTGTCAAAGGACACCAGAAACAAAATTGTAGACCTGCACCAGGCTGGGAAGACTGAATCTGCAATAGGTAAGCAGCTTGGTTTGAAGAAATCAACAGTGGGAGCAATTATTAGGAAATGGAAGACATAAAAGACCACTGATAATCTCCCTCGATCTGGGGCTCCACGCAAGATCTCACCCCGTGGGGTCAAAATGATCACAAAAACGGTGAGCAAAAATCCCAGAACCACACAGGGGGACCTAGTGAATGACCTGCAGAGACCTGGTCCCTTTGCAGAAAAACAGCCCCAAAGCATGATGTTTCCACCCCCATGCTTCACAGTAGGTATGGTGTTCTTTGGATGCAACTCAGCATTCTTTGTCCTCCAAACACGACGAGTTGAGTTGTTACCAAAAAGTTATATTTTGGTTTCATCTGACATTCTCCCAATCCTCTTCTGGATCATCCAAATGCACTCTAGCAAACTTCAGACAGGCCTGGACATGTACTGGCTTAAGCAGGGGGACACGTCTGGCACTGCAGGATTTGAGTCCCTGGCGGCGTAGTGTGTTACTGATGGTAGGCTTTGATACTTTGGTCCCAGCTCTCTGCAGGTCATTCACTAGGTCCCCCTGTGTGGTTCTGGGAGGTCTACAATTTTGTTTCTGGTGTCCTTTGACAGCTCTTTGGTCTTGGCCATAGTGGAGTTTGGAGTGTGACTGTTTGAGGTTGTGGACAGGTGTCTTTTATACTGATAACAAGTTCAAACAGGTGCCATTAATACAGGTAACGAGTGGAGGACAGAGGAGCCTCTTAAAGAAGAAGTTACAGGTCTGTGAGAGCCAGAAATCTTGCTTGTTTGTAGGTGACCAAATACTTATTTTCCACCATAATTTGCAAATAAATTCATAAAAAATCCTACAATGTGATTTTCTGGAATTTTTTTCCTCATTTTGTCTCTCATAGTTGACGTGTACCTATGATGAAAATTACAGGCCTCTCTCATCTTTTTAAGTGGGAGAACTTGCACAATTGGTGGCTGACTAAATACTTTTTTTCCCCCACTGTATATACAAAAGCATGTGGACACCCCTTCAACTTAGTGGATCCGCCCATTTCAGCCACACCCGTTGCTGACAGGTGTATAAAATCGACCACACAGACATGCAATCTCCATAGACAAACATTGGCAGTAGAATGGCCTTACTGAAGAGCTCAGTGACTTTCAACATGGCACCGTCATAGGATGCCACCTTTCCAACAAGTCAGTTCGTCAAATTTCTGCCCTGCTAGAGCTGCCCCGGTCAACTGTAAGTGCTGTTATTGTGAAGTGGAAATGTCTAGGAGCAACAACGGCTCAGCCGCGAAGTGGTAGGCCACACAAGTTCACAGAACGCGTCCGCCGAGTGCTAAATATTGTCTGTCCTCGGTTGCAACACTCACTACCGAGTTCCAAACTGCCTCTGGAAGCAACGTCAGCACACAAACTGTTCGTCAGGAGCTTCATGAAATGGGTTTCCATGGCCGAGCCTAAGATCACCATGCGCAATGCCAAGCGTCAGCTGGAGTGGTGTAAAGCTCGCCGCCATTGGACTCTGGAGCAGTGAAAATGCATTCTCTGGAGTGATGAATCATGCTTCACCATCTGGCAGTCTGATGGATGAATCTGGTTTTGGCAGATGAGAACGCTACCTCCCCCAACGCATAGTGCCAACTGAATGGAAGCAAGTCCCCGCAGCAATGTTCCAACATCTAGTGGAAAGCCTTCCCAGAAGAGTGGAGGCTGTTATGGCAGCAAAGTGGGGACCAACTTCATATTAATGCCCATGATTTTGGAATGAGATGTTCGACGAGCAGGTATCAACATACTTTTAGTCATGTAGTGTACATGTACTGCCAATATATGGCTCTGGTGAGAGCAGCGTGAAAGTTTTATGATTGGAAAGAAATCCCTTCCATTCATGGTCCTATTTTAAACTACAGTAACTAAACTTAATGAAGCCTTCATAAATCCTTTATAACACCCATATAAAAATGATTCAAAAATAATTAATTACTTTAGGTAATTAGGTACTTACAGAACAGTGGAACGGTGTCTAGGGGAGCTGACTCTACAGGTTGTTATAACAACTTATGCCTGGCAACAGTGTGCAACAGTGGAGCGCCAAGAACCTGGGACCAGCCGGTGCGCCAACGGATAGGCTGAGTAAGTCTAAACCACGCTCAGTCTCTACTCTGATTGGCCAGCAGGGAGTGGGAACTATCTCTGTCAGAGTATTTTAAGAAGAACTCATAACAATGGATCAGTTCTCTGTCTGCCCTGCGTGGTATTTCAGTGAGCCCGTATACGAACCATCATACTTATCATACATACATTTTGCATATAATAAATTTAGCTTGGATTGAATATCTCTTGATTATGTTTTCTATTATTCCAATACCAGATTTGAATTACGCAATTTCTAACACTGTACTTGTGCATGTGACATTAAAACTTTAAACTTTAAATGGTAAATAGGTGGTCACATTTGGCAAAGCACCAGATCACCTGTTATATATAGTACCTGTTAGTATGACTTTGCTTATAAATCATTTGCGAAGCATTTATCTAGTTGTGCTTATCAAGACTTAATGAGTATGAATAATGTATGCTCTCACTAACTGTAAATCGCCCTGGATAAGAGTGTCTGCTAAATGACTAACATGTAAATGTAATGAAAATAGGCTAGTTGTCATGTAGAATAATGTATATGCACCTGTGTTATTTCCTTTATGGTGAATGGTCCATCAGTGGTCAGTGGGCCCAACTGCCCCTGGTCTTCTGTGAGGCCCATTTCTGCTGACCGTTTGGTTGGGCCTTAACACTGCCTGGTCTGGTGTTTTACAAAAAGTATAAACCAAGCAGTAAAACATATGACCATGAGAATTCCCCATAAAATTATATCTCGTCGTGTACACTCATTTCTTGGAGTATTTATGACTGTTTAAAGCAGCAAAACCATGTTGATTTGAATACTTCTTGCAGCCGACGGTTCCTCCTCCCTCCTGCCGACGGTTCCTCCCTCATTGAAGGCAATGTCACCCGTGCACGTTCTAGAACTCAGCAAAGCATTTCCCGCCTGACTGATGTGATGTAACATTTGTCTCCTAGGTAACATAAAGCTTCGACATTCTAAAAGTGATATAATCAAAGAAACCTTTCCCACCTTCTAAAATAAGTTATATTATATACATTCAGAGAGGAAGAGGAGAAGCAAAGTTTGAATTAACCAGAAAGATTTGATAACACCGATATCCAATCTCTCTGGTGATATCATACACCCATACACAAAAAAAAAAAAAAATTGCACGCATGACTGTAAGTCGCTTTGGATAAAAGCGTCTGCTAAATGGCATATTATTATTTATATTATTATATCAAATCTCTCTTGTGAAATCAAGCTTTGAGGTTGATAAGTAACGTAAATATGGAGATAACGTTCTTACTGGCATCTTGTGCAGAAAGTGGAGGAAAAGTCCCCTTTTCGTCCTTAGGCAACTAACTATATCTTGGAGGGGTGGTGGGGATTGCAACTGCAAAGCGATACAGTTTGAGTGATGAGTGGGGATTTTTATAGTTTTGTATGGTGTATCTTTTTGGATTGCCTAATTTTCTGTATGCCTAATTTTCTCTACGCCTACGTGGATGGGGATGTAGCTCAGTGGTAGAGCGCATGCTTTGCATGTATGAGGCCCCGGGTTCAATCCCCGGCATCTCCATATACATTTTCCCCAAAAAATTAAGTACCTTTGTTTATTATTATTTCGCAAAAAATGTTTCGATTGTACATTAGCATAGACAAGTTTTATTAGCCAACAAGATATGTAAACACCCTGCACAGCTTGTTTATTTACGCCAAGACTTGTGCATTGTCCAATTGTGACCACTAGGGGCTCCCTCTCTGCATAAATAAAGACCACTGAGATTGATGAAGACACAGGATATCCTGAATGGCAACTAAACTTTATTAAACTTTTCACAAAACGCAACCAATTTTCGTATTAGAGTAATAGTGTATAGTAGGCTACATTATCATGATACAGTTTTAACAGAGGGAGCAGGAGCAGTCATGGACCCTATCTTGTTCTGACTCTATGCACACTCATAAGACTATACATGCTTAGAAAAAAATATGCAAGTAGAACCATAATGTGCTCTTCTGTTTGTCCCCATAGGCGAAACCTTTTTGATGCTAGGTAGAACCCTCTATCTAGGGTTCTTCATAGAATCACCTGTAAATGAACCCTCTATGAAGGGGTGAACTGTTCTACCAATAACTCTTTCATCCTCTAAAGGTTCTTCCTAGAACCCTCCATGAAGGGTTCTACTGAGAACCCTTTTATGGTTGAAGATTTCTTCCTAGAACCCTTTATGAACGGTTCCACCAGCCTTATTAGCCTTTAAAATTAAACTCTTTATGACACTACATTACATATATTATAAGGTATTTCTTTGAGGGCCTAGATAGTTTCCTAACAGTGGTGTTAGGAAACTCCTGGTTTACAGGTCACATCAGGCATGCAAATGACATTATGCTGGATGCAAAGTAATTCCTATTGGAATCCAGCCAGATTGAGGATATCCAACAATTTGAACTTTTAATCACCCACAACCTGCATTCAGAATGACTGCCAAGGTAGAGAAGGTTGATTAATGGGATGACCTAAATCAACTGGAACAACTATTTCAGTAACGGGTGCAATACGTCTCACTACTAACAGATTGGATTTGTTTAGAAAATGTATGTTATTTATCTTTGTGTAGCATAAGATTAATCAATCAATCATTACATGCAAAAAACACAGATATTGAAACAATTCTGAAAATCAACCTGCAATAGAGCATTTTGGGAAATATGCTAATGAGGTGCCTGGTTTTGAGCGTTTTACTAAAAATGACACAATCACACTCAACTCTGGTTATTAACAACAACAAAACAACACTAGGGTTATTTTACACCGCTGAGTGTTAAGTTAATTTAACTCCTGAATCAACACTATATGTTACACTGAAAAACACTAGGTAAAACTGGCCAATTTGCTGTGCACCATATACAATACACTGCTGATTCATGCTCCCTTTTATTCTCCTACTCTCTGCTCAATAAAATCACAGAAAATACTAATTTGAAAGAGCAAAGATGTCAACTATGTCTGTACTGTATATGTAACATGATTAAGGGAATGCCAGATATAAAGTGCATTCAGAAAGCATTCAGACCCCTTGATTCTTTCCACATTTTGTTACGTTACTGCCTTATTTTAAAATTGATTAAAATAATTTTTTTTACTCATCAATCTACACATTGTACTCCATAATGACAAAGTGAAAACAGGTTTTTAGAATTTTTGCAGTGTTTTGCAAGTTGCACAGTCAACTTAGTGTATGTAAACTTCTGACCCACTGGAATTGTGATACAGTGAATTATAAGTGAAATAATCTGTCTGTAAACAGTTGTTGGAAAAATTACTTGTGTCATGCACAAAGTAGATGTCCTAACCGACTTGCCAAAACTATAGTTTGTTAACAAGAAATTTGTGGAGTGGTTGAAAAACGAGTTTTAATGACTCCAACCTAAGTGTATGTAAACTTGTACTGTATGTGTGTGGAAGTCCTGGCATCACATTAAAGGACCACTTACCCACTCATCTTGTTTAGAGAAAGAGAAAGAGAGAGAAAAAGACAGAATGAACACTTACAATGTGTCTGTGTGTGTATGCAAAATGTCATTACCCAATCTAAATCTGAATGTAGGGCAGTAGCTTGATAATTACAGCAGGTTTTTATTCTAGCCCATCTATTGTGTAACATATCCACTGTTGTGGATTTGTTGTGCTACGATGGGGAGTGCAGACCGAGAGAGAGACAACATGGTTTTCATTCAACCAAAATGGGGGTTATAAAAAAAGAACTTGAGTCGATTGATGCACCCATGCATCAATCTAAGTAACAATAAAAAATCCCCATCAAAATCCATCAGTTTAAGCTAGAGAAATCTGTTTTTGAGGTGGAAGGTGGCTGAGCTACAGCGGTGTTTGTCAGACCATGAGACATTCCGAAAATCTGTCCTCCGTTTTACTCTACGACCCCCACAAGTGTCACAGGACTTGTCTGAAGTCAGTACCATCGATGTGCCAACTTCTGTTTGTAGCGTCCAAACCATTTGGACTACAAACTAATGGGAAAGGGGAGATTATCACAAACACGATGGTGTTCTCCGTTTTGCTCTACAACCCCCACAAGTGTCACTGGACTCGTCTGAAGGTACCTGTTAAAAAAATGTAATGGAAGTATGGAGGTCGTTTTGTGCCTACCCAAAAAAGGGGTTAAATATGTGCAAAAAAATATTTCCTGAGCTTTCTTATATCTCCTAGACATAGGATAGACACATCTAAAACTTGTTCCAAATGATGTCTTTTTTGACTGTCTTGCCAATTATGAATGTGTTATTCAATGCTTTTCTATAGGCTATAGTAGTAAAGGCCAAATTCAATATTTTATCAAAACATTTTTTGGGGGGGATACCTAAAGGGGTCCTAAAATTCAAAATCAAAAAGCTAAATTATCCATAGTATGACCATCTTAAACAATTCCATATGTCAGGAGGGAATAATCAGGGAAATCCGGAAATCTAAACCAGGATTTCTGGAAAACCAGGGAATTTATTGAAAGTTCCTGGAATTTTTGCAACACTACAAAGAACAAAGCAAAGCCAAACTCAAGCAAACTAAGCACATCGGTTAATACTGACGAAGCTATTCCTTCACCACAGGACAGACAGAGAGAGTTCTGAAACTATTGCACAGTCTGTGTTCTGGCCGGTCAATCAACGCCTCAAACCCAGACAGAGCTTGGTCATCTCTCTCTCGCTCTCTCTCTCTCTCTGATCAGGGTTATCATATGCAGTTAGTAGGGCCACATTAAAATGACAGTTATGACTCATAATTGAATGGCACACTCACTCATTGATATTCAACTAGGCAAGTGGTACCAAACGTGTTTATGCTGTGACTCAATCAAACTAAGTAAATACATTCTTTATGATCATAATCTAGTCATCCAGCAACCATGGCCTGCCATTTGGAAAACTTAGCCAAAACTTAATGGACGATTGTCGATTATTTTGTCTATTCAAGAATAAATGATTGAAAAATCAACATGATGGAGTTACTGTGAACTGTCGGTATAACATACGTCTTCACCAAACTCCGACAACATAATGTTACTTTGAGAAAATGGCAACATGTAGCATACCAGCAGGTTCTGCTAAATACCTGAAAATCTCACTACATCGTGATACAAAATCAACCACCAGCTCCTAGACACTTTGAAATGTACTTATAGATAAAAAGAAAAGTGGGAGAATGGAACTGGAAAAGTGGAAAATGCCCTAGCGTGTCCAATGCCTCCAGATCTATAAGAAGCAAACAAGACTTGGGGCTAGATTCGAGTTATAGAGCAATTTAAATTTAAAGGCAATGTTCCTGTGTTCAAGTTAAACGCTGCATATTACGGCTTAAAACCTCTTAAGGATCGTACCCTTTCTTTAAATTTTCACCTAAAATGACATACCCAAATCTAAAACTGCCTGTAGCTCAGGACCTGAAGCAGAGATATGCATATTCTTGATATAATTTGAAAGGAAACACTTTGAAGTTTGTGGAAATGTGAAATTAATGTAGGAGAATATAACACATTAGATCTGGTAAAAGATAATACAAACAAAACAACATGTGTTTTCTATTATTGTTTTTTAAAATAATCTTTGAAATGCAAGAGAAAGGCCAGTGATGTAGGAATCTACAGTTGAAGTCGGAAGATTACATACACCTTAGCCAAATACATTTAAACTCAGTTTTTCACAATTCCTGACATTTAATCCTAGTAAAAATTCCCTGTCTTAGGATCAACACTTTATTTTAAGAACGTGAAATGTCAGAATAATAGTAGAGAGAATGAATTATTTCAGCTTTCATCACATTCCCAGTGGGTCAGAATTTTACATACACTCAATTATTATTTGGTAGCATTGCCTTTAAATTGTTTAACTTCGGTCAAACGTTTCAGGTAGCCTTCCACAAGCTTCCCACAATAAGTTGAGTGAATTTTGGCCCATTCCTCCTGACAGAGCTGATGTAACTGAGTCAGGTTTGTAGGCCTCCTTGCTCACTCACGCTTTTTCAGTTCTGTCCACAAATGTTCTATAGGATTGAGGTCAGGGCTTTGTGATGGCCACTTCAATACCTTGACTTTGTTGTCCTTAAGCCATTTTGCCACAACTTTGGAAGTATGCTTGGGGTCATTGTCCATTTGGAATACCCATTTGCGACCAAGCTTTAACTTCCTGACTGATGTCTTGAGATGTTGCTTCAATATATCCACATAATTTTCCTTCCTCATGATGCCATCTATTTTGTGAAGTGCACCAGTCCCTCCTGCACCAAAGCACCCCCACAGCATGATGCTGCCACCTCCGTGCTTCACGGTTGGGATGGTGTTCTTCGGCTTGCAAGCACCCCCTTTTTCCTCCAAACATAACGATGGTCATTATGGCCAAACAGTTCTATTTTTGTTTCATCAGACCAGAGGACATTTCTCCAAAAAGTACGATCTTTGTCCCCATGTGCAGTTGCAAACCGCAGTCTGGCTTTTTTATGGTGGTTTTGGAGCAGTGGCTTCTTCCTTGCTGAGCGGCCTTTCAGGTTATGTCGATATAGGACTCGTTTTACTGTGGATATAGATACTTTTGTACCTGTTTACCCCAGCATCTTCACAAGGTCCTTTGCTGTTGTTCTGGGATTGCAACCAAAGTACGTTAATCTCTAGGAGACAGAACGCGTCTCCTTCCTAAGCGGTATGACGGCTGCGTGGTCCCATGGTGTTTATACTTGCGTACTATTGTTTGTACAGATGAACATGGTACCTTCAGGCATTTGGAAATTGCTCCCAATGATGAACCAGACTTGTGAAGGTCTGGCTGATTTCTTTTGATTTTCCCATGATGTCAAGCAAAGAGGCACTGAGTTAGGTAGGCCTTGAATACATCCACAGGTACACCTCCAATTGACTCCAATTGACTAGATGTCCTAACCAACTTGCCGAAACTATAGTTTGTTAACAAGAAATTTGTGGAGTGGTTGAAGAACGAGTTTTAATGACTCCAAGGATTACATCAGATTTTAGTCATTTAGCAGACGCTCTTATCCAGAGCGACTTACAGTTAGTGAGTGCATACATTTTTCATACTGGTCCCCCGTGGGAAACAAACCCACAACCCTGGCATTGCAAGCACCATGCTCTACCAACTGAGCTACACGAGACTACAGGTCACACGGGGGACCAACACGAAAAATGTATGCACTAAATATCTGTAAGTCGCTCTGGATAAGTGTGTCTGCTAAATGACTAAAATGTAAATGTACACAATATTTTGTATCAAGTATGCCAGGAGTTTTCCCAAACGTTCCGAATTGGTCAATTTATACACTTTCAAAAATGCTATGATAATAAAACATTTAAGTTTACATACTCCCAGGAATGTCATACATGATGGATCATTAGCTTCCCTACAGAAAATACACTAACCTTCACACATCTAGATGGCCAGAGACAGCAGGGGGTCAAACTGTAGAACCCAGTTCCTACATTTGAATATAAAAATTTATTTTATCAAACAAAACTATGCTACATTTTATCTCTGGGACACTCAGGATGACAAATCAGAGCAAGATTACTGAATGTAAGTACATTATTTACCTTCAGAGGTGAATGTATCAAACCAGTTGCCGTGACAAAAGTGTTTTGTTGTTGTGCACTATCCTCAAACAATAGCATGGTATTTTTTAGCTGTAATAGCTACTGTAAATTGGACTCTGCAGTTAGATTAACAGGAAATTAAGCTTTCTGCCCATATAAGACATGTCTATGTTCTGGAAAGTTGGCTGTTGTTTACAACGCCATTCTAGTCACATAGTGCATATTGAGCAGCAACCATCCCGGTATAGGGACGCCGATCCCGTAGAGGTTAATGGGAAATTACCTTTCAATTTCAATCGTGCTATAATGTAGATCTTCCACGCTCCGGATTGAATCTAGCCCTTGGGGTACGGTTTTATGGGCTAGGGATGTTTCTGCTGATATGGACGGACATTCAGACCTTTAATAGAGCGTGCTACTACAATATATCATAATGAGTTTTTTTTGTCACTGATAACTAATTTAGTCTAGGATTGGGTAAAAAAAAGAGACTACAGTTTTTGTTTTTTGTTTTCAAACCGAGCTTACATCCTTTAACCCCTTCCCTTCCTCCCAGAAAAAGTATGACTCCTTGTATGACATCCACCACACCTGGTGCCTGGAGGTGTGACCTGGGCGCAGAAGAGGCGGGCCTACACCACCTGCCTATCGGTGCTGGTCTTCCTGGTCCCCATGGCCACCATGGGGGTCCTGTATGGACGTCATGTTCCAGATGCTGTTCGGCTCCGAGATCAACAAGATCACCAGGTGTGGATCATTGGGGATCTACCAATAATTTTCTACCAATCATAGCCTGGGTTATATTTATTAGGGCATGCAACAGAAACTTTTCAAAATGTTTTGCAACGGAAATCGAAAATGAGTCCAGGTAGTTCCTGCCTGATTCAGTCAGTTTTCTTTCATTTGGTGCCTAATAAACATTTTATAGACAGGTGTAGATGATTAAAAGACGCATTGTGATCTGAATGTGATCAGATTGTGTCTGGATTTCATTAGACAGATCTAGTGTAGACGGAGCTAGACAGTAAAACCATTTAAATAATAATTATCCTGCACTCTAAAATCATTGACAGGTGGCACCATTGACTTACGGCATCAATATGTGTCTTAAAATAAATAAGTACATTTTATGTAGAAAAAATATCAGTGAAATAATTTGCATATTAGGAAATCTGGTCACAATGCAGACACTGTGGATGGATAAGAGACACATTTTAATACCATGTGTAGAAACGACAAATCTTGATCAGATAGTATTGATCAGATCACGAAACCCACATGTTAGCACATAGTGTAAATCTTAGGAATATGAGAACTCCAAACGAAACTAAGGAAATGGGGTATAATGTGGTTGAATGAGAATCAAAGCAGTTCCACCAACAACACAATGCACAGTTATTACATTTTGCAACCAAAAACTAAAATATGTGTTTGTATAGGACAGGTTTAGAAATGTTTCCCACCTACTGAACAGAACACAAGAAGGAGAGGAATAAGGTCATTGGCCACTCACTGTGGACAGAGCAGGTCACAGGTGAATGAGGCAGAGAACTATAACCAAAACTGACCATTGTCACAGCTGGATTTAATGCAAGCCCCACTCGCCTCCGTGCCTTCAATAATAATAGCAAAAAGGAGAACAAAGTCGACTGTAGGATGAACTTCTGTATTTTGGGAATATTTTGGGAGCATTTTGGTTCTTAGTTGCTCTTGACATGGGTAAGGCCTGATGCCACTCTGGATAAAGAACAATAAATTATGCATTGTTGCTGTCTGGGACTTTCTGCTTGGCTCCTGCCATCCTGCAGTGCTCTTTCCCTTTCCTTTCTGTCCCTCCTTCGAGCCTCCCTCCTCTCACTCTCTCACTCCTCCCTCCTCCTCTTCCTGCTGCACCTTCTCTCCTCCAGGATCAGTTGGTTCCTCTGGAGGACTGTGGTTCCTCTCGTCTCTATGGAGGCAGTGCGTTGTGGGTGCGGTCGTGACCGTGAGCGTTGTAGGTTGGCCCAGCACCTCTCCAGAGCTCCACAGATCTTACATTGAGTGTTCTGGAACCACTGGCCCCGTCCGTCCTCCATGGCTGCCCCGCAAGGGCCTGGTGCTGGCAGGGTAGGCTCTGGATATGCCTGGGGCTGGAGCTGGAGTGGAGATGGCTCCCGAAGGAAAGCTCCAGAAGGACCCTGCGGCTCAAGCTGAGTTAGCCCAGCAAGAGGCACCTGAGGTGGGGAAACGTGGGCAGGAGGACAGGTCTCCAGCTGAAGTAGGTGTGCTGGAGGGAATCTGAAGGGCTGTTGTTGTGGCAGCAAATCCTGTGGGTGTAGGAGCAGAGGGTAGACGGGGCCAGAGTAGTGGGTTGCCTTGTCCTCTCGTTTCACTGGAAATTCGTATTGGAATGCTGTCTCATCTTCACTCATTACTGTGGTCAATGTACACTCTGTCCCTGGTGTCCTAACCTAACCTAACCTAACCTAATGGCAATAACATAACGACTGTCCTGCGGCCCAGACTTCCTCCTGCTGCTGCGTCTGCTGTGCTGCTGGCTTCCCCTGCTTATTCTTCTCTCATGGTGGAGTCTCTGGAGAGGGAGGGCCTCTGGCTCTAGTTATAGCCCAGCCTGTGGCTGGTGGACCTCCCCCTGGTCCTGCTTCTGCTGGTTCTCAAGCAGGGAAACACACCTATGGCCAGACATCCGCCTTGGAAGATCAGCTACTGGTGTTGCCAACATGGACACACCATTCTCTGTACGTTTCCTCTTACCCGGTCCTAGTACAGTTCCCAGAACTGCTCCCGCTCGGCACCTGTGAGCCCTTACCGCTTCCCCCTCCTCCTCCTGGAACTCAGCCCGGAGACTTAGTGGCCTTTCCAGCAGGGCCCTTCTCTGCTGGCGGCCCCTGAAATGTACCAGGTTCCTGGCGTTGTCCAGCTGTCGAACGTCCTGCTCTTCCTCACCATCTGCACACCCACAAAACCACCAGGGCCAGACCGGAAAAGGTCAGTCTCTGCACTATCTTAAAAATTAGGCAGGACAACAAAGTGATGTGAATTTAACCTTTATTTAACTAGGCAACTCAGCTAAGAACAAATTATTATTTACAATGACGGCCTACCCAAGCCCAGATGACGCTGGGCCAATTGTGCGCGGACCTATGGGACTCCCAATCACAGCCGGATTGTGATACAGACTGGAATCGAACCAAGGTCTATAGTGAAGCCTCTAACACTGAGATGCAGTGCCTTGGACTGCTGCGCCACTCGAGAGCCCCATAGGAATGTTGTGGTATTTTGACATCACAGGCTGCCCAGTAGAATGGCATTATGACACCACTAAGGAACTAACTACACAGTGGAACAGCATTATGTGGAACAGGGTTGAGGTCAATTCTAATTGTCACTCAATTCCGGAAGTAATTTGAATTAAAAATTCAAAAATTCAGTTTATTGAGAAGTAATTGAAAGTAACCGCCTCTTTATTGAATTTGAGTTTCAGTTGACTTCCTGAATCGACAGAAGCATCCAGCTGCAAATTATGCGCGCTGAGACCGCCTAGTCTGCGAACCTCAAAGTGCATGCATCTCAGATGGTATGTGCGTGCGCAACCTGTAGATGTTTTTTGGTCGCATGGATCTTCAGTAGCTTTGTTCCAGCGCTGTGTGCTATGCACATACCAGTCGGTACATTAACTCTGGTCCAGGGCATTATGTTAACCACTGTTACTAGAGCAGCTAGCTAGTACACACTATCTAGCTAGTACACACTAGCTAGCTAGTTTATTGAAATGAAGAAACAAATAGATCATGAATACTCTGTATATAACAATATTCTTAAATACTTCATAATACGCCATTCTTTCACTCATTGTTGTATAATATACAGTGAGGGAAAAAAGTATTTGATCCCCTGTTGATTTTGTACGTTTGCCCACTGACAAAGACATGATCAGTCTATAATTTTAATGGTAGGTTTATTTGAACAGTGAGAGACAGAATAACAACAACAAAATCCAGAAAAACGAATGTCAAGAATGTTATAAATTGATTTGCATTTTAATGAGGGAAATAAGTATTTGACCCCTCTGCAAAACATGACTTAGTACTTGGTGGCAAAACCCTTGCTGGCAATCACAGAGGTCAGACGTTTCTTGTAGTTGGCCACCAGGTTTGCACACATCTCAGAAGGGATTTTGTTCCACTCCTCTTTGCAGATCTTCTCCAAGTCATTAAGGTTTCGAGGCTGACGTTTGGCAACTCGAACCTTCAGCTCCTTCCACAGATTTTCTATGAGATTAAGGTCTGGAGACTGGTTAGGCCACTCCAGGACCTTAATGTGCGTCTTCTTGAGCCACTCCTTTGTTGCCTTGGCCGTGTGTCTTGGGTCATTGTCATGCTGGACTACCCATCCACGACCCATTTTCAATGCCCTGGCTGAGGGAAGGAGGTTCTCACCCAAGATTTGACGGTACATGGCCCCGTCCATCGTCCCTTTGATGCGGTGAAGTTGTCCTGTCCCCTTAGCAGAAAAACACTCCCAAAGCATAATGTTTCCACCTCCATGTTTGATGGTGGGGATGGTGTTCTTGGGGTCATAGGTAGCATTCCTCCTCCTCCAAACACGGCGAGTTGAGTTGATGCCAAAGAGATTGATTTTGGTCTCATCTGACCACAACACTTTCACCCAGTTCTCCTCTGAATCATTCAGATGTTCATTGGCAAACTTCAGACGGCCCTGTATATGTGCTTTCTTGATTAGGGGGACCTTTCTGATTGAGAGGGGGTCAAATACTTATTTCCCTCATTAAAATGCAAATCAATTTATAACATTTTTGACATGGGTTATTCTGTCTCTCACTGTTCAAATAAACCTACCATTAAATTTATAGACTGATCATTTCTTTGTCAGTGGGCAAACGTACAAAATCAGCAGGGGATCAAATACTTTTTTCCCTCACTGTAGTGCAGTATTAAAATAATTTGAAATTAATTGTTGAAGTTATTCAGTTTTGGAATACAAATATGCAAATTACAAAATATTGTTGTCCTTACTCTGTAGCAGTCTATGGACAAGGTATGACAGCAATCCATGCCTTCGTTTAGCCTCCCTGGCTCTGTCTCCACATGCTAATGTTTTAGCATTTGTGGCACACATCCCATTCAAGTCATATTAGCGTTTTTCTCGTATTATGTTCAAATCATCTATAAGTGACTTTGTGGAGCTTCACAATACATTTGAGATACTTTTAGATTATTTGGACATGATGCAAAAAAAATGCTAATATCAGTCCCATGACTTGAATGGGATTTGTGCCACAAATGCTAAAACGTTAGCATGTGGAAATATTGCCAGGGATACTAAACCAAAGCATGAATTGCTGTTATACCTTATGCATATAGGGTAAGGAAACCAATGTGTCATTTTATAATTTGGGTGAACTATCCCTTTAATACAAGATTCAATACAAAAGGCAAAGATGGGATATTTGTACAAAATGTTTATTTCAAATTGACATTAAACAAATACAATGGCTTTGACACATTCTTATCTGAAATCCAGACACTAGCAAACAATTGTCTAAGGGAGAAAATGACTTAAATAAGAAAAAACATTTGTTCATAAAACATTTACATAGGCAGTATAAACAAGTTTTGGAGCTATGCAACGAAATAAACAGAAGTGAGGTGTGAGACTGCCACAGAGCAAACATGATATGAATGCCAATGTATAATCCTAACTCCTAAAACTTCATAAAAAAAGAGCCAAAAGCAGTCTCAAAGGTACTATCGTAATGGAAGAGATGTGTTAAAAAAGTTTGTAGAAAAGCATTAGGAAGAATTAGGAAAAAAAAGGTCCCTTGAAATTGATGCAGGCTGTTTTTTCATTGTCCGTCACTAGATGGCAGTGCCAGCACTGTAGCTTCAAATCTGTTGGCTAAAATATAATTCTTCCCTCTTTGACATAAGTGTAGCCACTAGACTGGAGGGAAAAAGGGGCCAAACCAAGTTTAATGTGCTAGTACTTAGTAATCATATGCTAGTACTTAGGTCTAACAATTAACCACTTATGGCCTCGCTAGGTCTATTCTAAGCATCTTACTTCACACTTCATTTGGTTCCTTCTGTTTTAAGGCTTTTCTTTTTTTGTTAATAAAACTGTAAATATATATATATATATATATATATATATATATATAATATTTTGTGAAGCACATAAATAATGTAGGTACAAAGGACGCTACAGGAAATAAACTTGGACTTTTCAAAAATTTAAAATAACTTGGGACTTAAATATCCAGAAAAGCTTTCCTTCATCTTCTCGACAGAGCCAAACAATGAGAAACAACGTGATTTGCGTACCTGTATATTCATGTCTTTGTTGACATGTATAAAGGAGTCCAACTTTTTATCAATACATTATTAACCTTTTCACACTACTGAGCCAAACCGAGCAGAGCTATACTGGACAATGTGAAAAGTACAGTTTAGGTCGGCCCTACAGTGTGAATCAGGCATATAATTTGTGGCTTGAAAAGCCGGCCCTCTAACACAGAGAGAGACGTTTTCAATAGTCCACCAATGGACTGACAAATGTCGAGTTAAGCATAATTACAAGAGCCAAAACACAAAAGTGACATTATGATAACATGCTTGATTGAATAAGAAACTCTATGTGCAGAAATGGCATATGGTAACTATGAACTTCTTTGACTGTATGTGCACTGACTGAACATAGTCTTTGATCAGTTCGGCGCCATCGAGCAGGACAGGATTAACCCCAAATGCAGGTCAGCCACTCCTGTCTGTCTATTTGACCTCAGTCATGTTGCCCTCTAGATAAATGTAGTCATGATAATGTAGCAACACATTACTGCCCTATTTAGTTTTCCAGGGCTGCTGTGTTCGTAATTGCATAAATAATGACACGTAATTATAATTCGTTTAAAATAAATATGTCAATAAATACAAAAATATGAAACCTTGAGGGCTCTGAGTGTTTGTAGGAAACATTTGAGAAACATTTCACGAACAAAAGAAATAGCTACAGAAACTCCTTCCAACAAGTGTGAGAATGCATTAACACTGAAAAACTAAATAACTAACAATGCAGTCTATAAAACATTCAGTTTAGTCACTTATGAAAAACAAAAAATGTTTACGTCCTCGCCCTTACCTGCACGTATACACTTTAAATGAGCCTATGGCACGTTTTAATTCATAAATGAATTCTGGAAAAAAAAAAAAAACAGTAACAGTAACGGACCACCGTATGACACATATTTACACAGAAATATGTAAATATTGAAATGAACCATATCTAACTGTGGCTAAAATACTTCTAATATGGTCATGACTCATATTAACCTGCATTTTAAACTAACAGAGTACAATATGGTCCATATTTTACTGTAATTGTTAACAGCATTATGCTTAAATGGCCTATCTCTACCTGTAGTTTAAACATATAAACTTCTGCCTAATATGGGCATTTGTTACGTGTAGCTCTAAACCCTACATGTGCCAGAGGCCAGTGCATCAAGTAGACACAGTGGTTGCGTGCCACGCCATCGACTGTGTCATTGACTGACAGATTGGTATAACATATGATGTGGTTAGCTGATACTTAAAATACCTATCCAGGCGTTGTAATATCTGGCAGGCGTCAGCAACGCCTGGGCGTAAGAATGTGCTAGCTAATGCCACTCCTACAAACCAGTGTATGTCCCTGTCCCAGGGGTCGGTATTGGCCTATAAGCCATGTCAGTCGCTCAGAGAGAAGGGGCGGGGCGTAAAATCATGGAGGTCAAAGGTGAGCTCCAGACCCATCCAATCAGCTCTCAGCTTACATCAGGCCTAGCAAGGCTAAATAAATCAGGCCATCTTGGAAGACAACATCAACATCTATCAACAACATTTAACTCTTCCACCATTTTATGTTTTTGTTTTGTTTTAGAAAGCCATGACGACTGGACACACCAGGCCTTTTTGGACAATAATGCTATCTTCCAAAGAAAACAACGTCCATCTCCAACTCCTCCATTTTGTTTTTTATGTTTTGTTTTAGAGAGCACTGGCCTTTAGGCCAAATACACCAGACCATACACCAGCAGATATTCGAAAGACAACATTGTTGATCTCCAACTCCTCCATTGGTGTTGTTTTAGAAGCACAGGCATTTGGCAGAATACATCAGGCCATTTAGGCCGATAAGAGTTGAAGTTGTCTTTCAACAATGTTTTTGATTTAATCTCAATCCACACATGTCTCTGAGGCAGCGCCCCCCAGTAGGCTGGGGGTGTCAGGGCGTGTCTGCGTGTTTGTAGTAACCCTTCTGGATGGCAGCGAATGCAATGCTCTCAGCGGAGCGCCTCTGGTCCAGGCTGAGAAGGGCCTGGAGCAGGGCATTGATGTCCGCCTTCAGGCCCTCCTTCTGCATCCAGTTCTTCAGCAGGTCATACACCTTGTCGCCAGGGGGGGCACTCTCAGCCATCTTGATGTGGTTGTCATTGACGCCGATGTAGCGGAAAAACTTGTTGTGGATCCGTATGTCCAGGCACTCGTCGAAGAGGTCAAAGCTCTTCTTCAGGGATGTCTCATCCCCTGGGGAGAGAAAAGAGAAGAAGTGGTACCTTGGTTCATTGTTGCTACTATCAAAAATAGGGGATTTATTTCCTGTTTTCCACCAAGAAAATGTGGCTCTAGTTATAGACAATAACCGAGATCCAAACTTTTTTCCTGAACCAGTCACATGGTCAGGACAAAAACTTATTGTACTTTAATAATTAATTTAAAAAAGGTAAGCAGCAAAAACAGTAATAAGAGAGCTTTTCTATAGATAAACATGTACAGTCCTGCACTGATTTAATGGTGCTCTGCATCAACTATTATCTATTTCAGAATCTGTGGTGGTCTGTCATTAATGTTTGTTGAAATGTATGTACGTTTAAATTGATGGTTTGTCTTTATTCATCTTTTTTCTTTATGTTGAAGTTTGGACATTAAGTCCCAGCCAACGTCATGTCTAGTTTTGGATCTATGTTTGTGGAATGTTAAGCTGTCTATTGTCTTTTTATATGTATATTTGTGTATTGTCTAGAAAACTAAATTAAATTATTTTTACAAAAATAAAGAAAAAAAAAATTCTGTGGGGGTCTGTTCAGGCAGTGTGCTTCCCCCGTCACATTTTGTCAATTTTCTCAGCCTTACAATAGAGCTCCTTGTTAGGGTCCAAATTGTAAATTGTTGCTAACCTTATAGTGCCGGAGAATTAACTCATAAAGCAATCAACCACTGAATACAGAGGTAACGAGGTTTAAACGTGGAGCCGTTAGTAAATAAGTGCTACACACACAGAATTTACTTCAGGGAGAGATACACACAAAGCCAAGCTATATTGACTACATAATAGTATAGTTCAGTAGCACGCACTACTAGTTAAATACCCTATAGGAGTCCCTATTCATCAAATTAAAATCGTAGGATGAAAGGACCCCATATAAAATCCATAATTTAATAATGAATCAAATTCATGATTGTTTAGATTTTCTGAGGCCTGACATTAACTTGACGGTATTCCATCTCTATGGAGTGTATTCAGTGAGGTGAAACGCTCAGAACTTTGCATATAGAAATGTAACTAGTACACCCATATTTACCTGACGATCACACAGTATTTGTTCTACACAATACATTTCTATTTGACCGTTCTGTAAAAATTATCTCTTCTAAACAGACCCCAGTCAGGACATGATGAATGTGTTCTTTATGGTGTGTGTGTGTGGAACCTCTCCCTACTAGGACCCGGCCCACCCTCCAGCTCTGTGTGGGGTCTCTTACCTAGCAGGGACACCAGTCTATTCTGCAGAGGATCATCCTGAAACACAACAGAAGGAAAAACAATAGTTAACCACAGTCCTTCTACAGACCACCAGGGGCCACCAGGGACAAATCTGTTATCCGTTTAGAAATAAATAAAATATTATTAGTATTATGAAAGTCTGCCTTGGTAAAAATACTGAAAACTTCATAGGACATGTGTCTGTTGCAGGAATACACAACTCCATTATCTGCCCTCTAGAACTGAAGTTGTGCTCACATGATCTGGTGCAAGCAGGGCTTGTGTGGTTTTGTGTCCTGGGCCAAACCTAGCCCCAGGGTCCCTGTCCCTCTGTCCCCCCTCCTACTATCACCGTGCCCCCTACCTTCCACTCTCTCCCAAGTTCCCTGTCCTCATCTAACCTCCTCTGCCCCCATATCCCTCAAGCTCTCCTACCCCACACCCCCAACCATCTCCCCTGCCTCACTCACCCTGGCTGTGGGCTGCAGTCTCTGGGCGGAGGGGCTGTGTCGGGGGGAGCTGCCCGACGAGGCTGCCCCGGCGGTGGGCAGGGCCGACAGGCTGGTCTGGGAGGAGCTGGTGGTGTTGGGCAGGCTGTCGCCCAGGCCCCGGTCCTCGTCTTCCCCCAGTCCCAGGGGAGGGGAGGCCTTGATCAGGCCATCCTGGGTCTCCTGCAGCAGGGGACGTGACTCGGGACGGACCTCCTCGCCCACCTCCCCCTCCAGGCCAGCATTCTGGCTGTTCTGTCTCTCCTCTGCTGTGGGCCCACTCTCATCCTGAGGGAGAGAGAAATATATATATATATATATATATATATATGTATATATAGAGAGAGAGAGAGAGAGAGAGGGAGAGAGAGAGAGGAGAGCAGAGAGAGAGAGAAGAGAGAGAGAGAAGGAGAGAGGGGAGAGAGGGAGAGGGAGAGAGATCGAGAGAGAGCGAGAGGAGAGAGAGAGAGAGAGAGGAGAGAGAGAGAGAGAGAGACATTCTGAGAAGACGCATTAAAACATTTCACCACCAGAGATTCATATCAATCCAACAGACATATATTGATCTACACTGACGGTATATAACATAACCCCAATGGCATAACTAAAGGAATAGAGATGGGAAAACTTACAATGGCAATCTTCACGATGTCACTGGAGTCACAGCAACTGTCTGAACCTGAGAGACAAACTAAAACACATAGAGAACTATTAGACAATCAATCTACAATGTTTTGAGTCAATATTTATTTCAATACACAGGAGTGGCAAGGGACATTTATTTTGGTTACTCACCAGGCCGAAATGTACATGGCCTCTTGATCCAAAGCCACACACCAATCCCGATGATGAGGAGGAAGAGCAAGAGCAGAATGACCAATGGCGTAACTTTTGGGGAGGGGAAATGAGGAAACAACCATTTAGAACATCGGTATTCAAACATTCTCAGTGGGGACCCCATTTTTTCTACAAGATTTCTGGGGATCCTGTTTTTTCCACAATAATTTCTCGTGACCCCACCCCAAATCTAATGACACAACCGTCAAATCTGTAAAATTAGATTTTTACATCAACAAATAACCTTAAATTCATTGCATTTTCATCTCTTATCAAAATGAAAAGAAACCAATAAATACATTAATTCAATACAATTGTATTTTTCAAATGATCTTTTTCAAAAACGTTTGCATATTGTCTCATACAATAATCTGTACTCTTAATTTGGTGTACATAATAAAACTAACAAATATTTGGGGCGACCCCACTGCAGTTCCCCCGAGACTCCACTAGGGGTCGCAACACCCGACTTTGAATACCACTGATTTAGAATCATGTCTCAGACTTCATAGAAAATATGCATATTCTTTCGCAATAAAACACCTCATAACCTATGACTTTACTAAAGTAGGAATTTGCTCTCCACTGACGAGCATGTGACATCAACTGTATGCTGTTCATTCTGTTTATTTGATTGGTCCTCAATAAAAATGATTCAGAGACTATAAGACAGAGAGCTAAAGACTTATGTAGACCTACCTATGGTCTCTGGTGAGCTGGGGGCGGGGGTGGGGAGGGCAGTCGGGTGGAGGGTAGGAGAGACGTCCCGTTTCCTACACACAGTGTTGGAGATGGGGGTGCATTTCTTCACCACCTCCTCCCCCGCTTTACAACTGGGAAGACAAGAAAAGAGATAGAGGAATTAGTATAATATTTTTTGAAGGGGCTAGTGTTAGTTCAGTAGAGACTTGGTTAAAATATGACATAATGCTAATCTCAGATCTGTTTGTGTGGTCTTGCCAACTCCTATGGTCATGCCAATAGGAGTTGGCTATACGGCACAAACAGATCTGGGACCAGGCTACTGTTTAGTATGCCTAGTGGTGTGATCTCTGGACTGGGGTCTGGAGGTGTAAACATGGCTCTAAATTGTGACAACTTTGGTCGTATATGCTCCTAAATATTTTTCTGTGCGACCTCTAATTTTTATTTGGGCGGACCAGTGCGCCTAGAAAAAAAATCACCCACATAATAATTGTTGTAATGATGATGCTTCGCTGTACCGCTATTTCCGAGTGCCCTAGAGAAAAAAAGCGAGCGCAGATTTGTGACCGTCATGATTGCACCATTACTACAGAGAAAATATGTCTGGGCGATATGGCCAAAATATCATATCACAATATTTTTCTTATTTTTGACGGTATGATGGTTTTTGACAGTATTTTTATGTTTTTGAATAATACAAGTTCCAAATATGCTTCATGAGTAGTGCATGACCCTAGGGTGGCAACACATACATTGTAAGTGGTTTTAATGGGGCTTTCTGATTGTTTTAAACTGTTCAATCAAACTTCAACCCAAAATAATTTTCTGCATTTCCTTAATTCATTTGTTATAATTTCCACACTGTACCACATTTGTTTTGTCTTTGTATGCCTCTATTTGGTGAAAAGTCAGGTTTCCTTTTTATTATTTATTATTATCATCAAAAACCATGTATTTTCAATGGATTCAATGGCAGTTCTTACTTTAGCCACAAGGGACTGATTTCTAGGGTGCTTCTGGCGCCTACGCTGCCTCACAGGCAATATTCATGGTAAAAAAAGTACATGCGCTCACCCAAAGCTCTTGGTAGAAAATTGGCAGTTCTCAACTGTTAGCACTCTATTACTGCTAACGATTGCCATAATTTTTCGAGTTTCATCACTCAGTTATTATATTTATATTACATTAAACAACCCAGACATTGAAATACCGTTATGTAAGGTAAAGTAAAAAATCCAAACCGGTCCATGCATCACCCTTACAAAAAAAGATAGCAGTTTTGAACCTGCAGTAAATGTGCAGTAATTGCAGTCAACTGTAGTATTTTGAACGCAGTAACTGCAGAATAACTGAAGTGATACTGCACAGTAACTGCAGTTACACTGCAAAAAACGTGTTATTTTGGACGCAGTATTTTCAGTATACTGCAGTTATACTGCACTCTAACAGCAATATTTTTTCGTAAAGGCAATACCGCTATACACTGAGTGTACAAAACACTGCTCTTTCCGTGACAAAGCCTGACCAGGTGAAAGCTATGATCCCTTATTGATGTCACCTGTTAAATTCACTTAAATTAGTGTAGATGAAGGGGAGAAGACAGGTAAAACAATTATTTTTAAGCCTTGAGACAATCGAGACATGGATTGTGTTTGTGTGCCATTCAGAGGTTGAATGGGCAAGACAAAAGTCTTTGAACGGGGTATGGTAGTAAATGCCAGGCGCACCAGATTGAGTGTGTCACGAACTGCAACGCTTCTGGGTTTTTCACTCTCAACAGTTTCCCGTGTGTATCAAGAATGGTCCACCACCCAAAGGACATCCAGCCAACTTGACACAACTGTGGGAAGCATTGGAGTCAACATAGGCCAGCATCCCTGTGGAATGCTTTCGACACCTTGTAGAGTCCATGGCCCGACGAATGAGGCTGTTCTGAGGGCAAAAGGGGGTGCAACGCAATATTAGGAAAGTGTTCCTAATGTTTTGTAAACTCAGTGTATAGTACAATACGGTTTACCACCCAGCCCGAGAAAACGGCTTGTTTCTAGCCCAAACCGTTCAAAAGTTTTACCCATATTACCAGCACTACGTTTTTTTTTCCTTCCATCACGCTTTGGCGGCCATTTTTTACATTCATAAACCATGTTATGGGCCGTTCTAAAACTACTCGCGAAACATTAACCATTTGTTGACACCTTGTTCAGTCACGTTACCTAATTAGCTAGGTAGCTAACAATCTGGCAATTTACCAGTATATCCAAACACTTAGGGGCACAGAAGGAAAAGGGAAGGCTTCTGACAGATCGCTTGGATGTCTTCACTCACTAGTTTGACAATCTTAAAGAAACAGTGTACAATTTTCAATGTAATGCATCTCAATAGGAAATAGTGCTTTTTACATAATATTCCACAAATTACTTTTTAATTTCAATGACAGGTATTTGTATCAACAGTTTTATAATAAACACGTCTTTACAGGATTACATATTCGCATCTAGGGCAAAACATGTGCTTCAAAAGTAGCTAGAATTCTTATAGGCCCAATATAGGCTGTATCTCAATCAATTTTGTTAAGATTCTGGTGATCCTAAATTGTATGTTGTTTGCCTAACTTTGATTTTGTTTTGTTTTTAGCCTTGGGTGTACATTTTGAAGTTGGCACTCACTTGGCACATCTCTTGCAGACCTCACAGGCCTGCTCTGGCACGCAGAAGGTGCCAGTTTGACACTGGCACTGGGTGTCTGTTGTACTGGTACAGGGCACTGTCTGGCTCTGGTCTGTGAAGGGAGGGAGGGAGGGAGGGAGGGAGAGAGTACTGATATATTGTACATTCAATAATACAGGTAGCAGTTTATTTTACAGTTCTGTTCTGTTTCTGCTGGTATATATCACTAGGTTATTATTATGTAACTATATCCTTATCAGACATTTAAAAAATGTATGGTAATGTAAAGTAAGGTGTAGTCATATGTTTATATGAGTCGGACCAATAAACTAAACCGATGCCAAGGTAAAAAAATAGCCACTAAATTGACTGGGTCATAAAATCTTTTAAAACAATGACCCAACAAGAACCATAAAAACACGATTTTACAACATGTGAATGATAAGAAAATGAATTCTGCAGAAAGTAACTTTGTAATATAGCTAGCTAAAGCAAAAGACTAACAAGATGATATAGTAGCTGGAGGATACATTTTCTTAAATACGATGTCTGAGTTTTGATTGAAATCTGTCTTTTCTTAGATGTTCTCTCTGTATAGGGCGTGAGAGACTATTTGATGAAAGCCTTCTGAAACAGCATTTTCTAAACCACAACTTAATAAAATTGTGATTTCGAGCGAGAGTTTTAAGACAAAGATTTGTATATCTTATGTTTACACAGTGTGGACTGTGAGGTGTGTATGCACTGATGCACTCATATAATAATGTTCTTTCTCAATACCTCAGTGACTAGCCACAGGGTACAGACGTTAGTTCAACATCTAGTTTTGATTTACATTTGGTTGAGTTGTCAACTAATGTGAATTCAACATGAAATCAACAAAATAAATCCCTATGTCATTGGATTTAGGTTAAAAGTTGGGTGAAATTACTAAATGCCCTTACGTTGATGACTTTTTGCAAATCCAATTTGTTTTCCACGCCATCACATCGATTATTATTTTTTTGGAACATGGAAACAACATTGCTTCAACCAGTTTTTTCCCAGTGGGGAAGCACAAAACATGTCACTCCCCTGTAACAGTAGTCTCCATAGTCTCTTTTCTTTGGGTCAGGCCTTTCATATGGCGTGGGAGACAATACAACACAACCACACCCAACTGCTGTGCAAGGTAACGCAACCACGCACGCACCCACACACACATGACTCTCCTGAGACAGGTAACAAACAATCTGCATTCAGTGTGTGTGAAACAAAACCACAAAGACACACCAACATATGCCATGTAATACCACTGGATCATGGAGCTTTTAAGACAGGGAGAAAGCCACAATGTATTATTCTGCCCTCTCCGGAACAAAAGTCTATCAAGCTAAACTGTGATTGCCCAATGCTCCATGAAAAAACTCCCGGAATGGGTGTTTACCTTGGTTAATAGTTTATGAATTGGCAACAGACAAAAGAGAGAGGCACTCTGGTTGATTGACCAGAAATAGCTAACTTCATGTAAAATGGAGAGTCTCTTCTTCTAACGACACAAACTTGTTGTAAGATAATCCTTTAAGGACAGCTAAAGAGGGCAGGTAACAGGTAAAACAACAAACAACAGTTACAGGACTACAAATAAAAGTCAGAGGACTCCATTACCCATGCGACAGTGGGTACAGGGCAGGCAGCGGTTCATCCCGTTGGAGTGTTCTGTGTAGGTGAAGCCATGTTCGCAGGGCATGCACGTCCCCTGCTCCATGTTCCGGTCACACGCCCTCTGCACGAACGTACCTGTCGATCAATAAACCAAACAACCAATAAAACATTTACACAAATACAAATACTCTGTTATAGCCTTTTTATTTGTTTTATTTAACCTTCAACCAAATTTAGGACACATTTAGCCTGTAGCATTTCTTTGAGTAACACAAAGGGTGGTGTGCTTGTGTATATGTGCGTTGTGATGGTAGTGTGTGTGGGTGTGTGTGTGTGTGGGTGTGTGTGCGTGCTTTTCCTATGTCTAACTGGAATAGACTATATACTACTAGTGGTTTTGTGTCTTCTTTCTTGGTTGAAATATAACATTAGCATTTTTCCTGCTCCGTTCATGCACGCAATGCTTTAGGCACCTTATTATCATGTGTTCAGAGAAAAGACAGTACGATACTATCACACCACAAAGAGAGGGAAAGAGAGTGAGAGAGGGAATGAGGAAACGTGAGAAATATACAGAGAAACTTAAAAGGTAATTGGCATTTCTACACCAATAATTTCATATAGAAATGCAGAATAGGATTCAATGCTGCTATTGGTGCTAGCTAGGGAACAAATTTAAATATGTGTGTGAAGAGCTATGGTGCTTCCAATTAGTGGATGTTGCGTGGCATATTATGCAGATGAAAGGACCATAGCAAAAAAACTTGGTAACCTATAAAGCGTTACATGCTTGCTCCTACCTATCTTCCATTTCCGCGACTCCAATACGTACGCTACGGTCACAAGACGCAGGCCTCCTAATTGTCCCTAGAATTTCTAAGCAAACAGAGGCAGGGCTTTCTCCTATAGATCTCCATTTTTATGGAACAGTCTGCCTACCCATGTGAGAGACGCAGACTCGGTCTCAACCTTTAAGTCTTTACTGAAGACTTATCTCTTCAGTAGGTCATATGATTGAGTGTAGTCTGGCCCAGGAGTGTGAAGGTGAACGGAAAGGCTGGAGCAACGAACAGCCCTTGCTGTCTCTGCCAGGCCGGTTCCCCTCTCCACTGGGGTTCTCTGCCTCTAACCCTGTTGCAGGGGCTGAGTCACTGGCTTGCTGGTGCTCTTTCATGTCGTCCCTGGGAGGGGTGCGTCACTTGAGTGGGTTGAGTTACTGACGTGATCTTCCTGTCTGGGTTGGCGCCCCCCCCTTGGTTTGTGCTGTGGTGGAGACCTCTGTGGGCTATACTCGGCCTTGTCTCAGGATTGTAAGTTGGTGGTTGGGGATATCACTCTAGTGGTGCGGGGGCTGTGCTTTGGCGGAGTGGGTGGGGTTATATCCTTCCTGTTTGGCCCTGTCCGGGGGTTTTCTTCGGATGGGGCCACAGTGTCTCCGGACCGCTCCTGTCTCAGCCTCCAGTATTTATGCTGCAGTAGTTTATGTGTCGGGGGGCTGGGGTTAGTTGGTTATACCTGGAGTACTTCTCCTGTCTTATCCAGTGTCCTGTGTGAATTTAAGTATGCTCTCTCTAATTCTCTCGTTCTCTCTTTCTCTCTGAGAACCTGAGCCCTAGGACCATACGTCAGGACTACCGGGCATGATGACACCTTGCTGTCCCCAGTCCGCCTGGCCTTGCTGCTATTCCAGTTTCAACTGTTCTGCCTGCGGCTACGAAACCCCTACCTGTCCCAGACCTGCTGTTTTCAACTCTTAATGATCGGCTATGAAAAGCCAACTGAGAGACCTGAGCCCTAGGACCATACGTCGGGACTACCGGCCGTGGTGACTCCTTGCTGTCCCAGTCCGCCTGGCCTTGCTGCTATTCCAGTTTCAACTGTTCTGCTGCGGTTATGGAACCCCCTACCTGTCCCAGACTGCTGTTTTCAACTCTATGATCGGCTATGAAAGCCAACGAGATTTATTCCTGATTATATTTGACCATGCTTGTCACTTATGAAACATTTGTTGAACATTTGGCATGGTTATGTTATAATCTCCACCCGGCACAGCCAGAAGAGGACTGGCCAACCCTCATAGCCTGGTTCCCTCTAGGTTTCTCCTAGGTTTTGCCTTTATAGGGAGTTTTCCTAGCCACCGTGCTTCTAACCTGCATTACTAGCGTTTGGGGGTTTTAGGCTGGGTTTCTGTACAGCACTTCGAGATATTAGCTGAGTAAGAAGGGCAGATTAAAATAAAAATTGATTGAAAAATTGATGACTAACTAGCTACAGATAGAGGCAGCGCAGTTAGCGACTTATCAAAATGCTGTCTTATTGCAGCTAAATTACTAGTGTACATATTTCAAATGTGGGTGTATCTGTAAGCCTAGACCTGTCTCTTTCTTTCTCTAGCTGCCTGTCTGCCTGTTCTTATCTGACTGACCCAAAAGGTCAAAACAGGTAATCTAATCAGAAAAGTAATCGCTAGCTTGCTAATGCTAGCAATAGTTATAGCTTATTAGCAGTAGCTTCCTAGCAATAGCAAGGATGCTAGTACTGCTATAATGTCCTTCGCTCATTCCACAGCACTGGCATCAGTAAGGCAGTGGTTCGGTTTTAATGGGACTATTTCAGCTAGTAACACCACTTTTAAAACAAACCCTACTCCCTGAATGTTTACTACTGGGTTTTGTTACAAAGCATGGTTTGGGTTCCCAGCCGCTAGCTTGGGCTTGGTTCCGGGCTCAGGTTTTAGTAACTCTGATTCTTCTGGCCTGTAGTGATAGCCTGGCAGTGTATAAGAGCAACATTCTTGCTTGGGTTCTAGATCAGGTTTTGGGACTGGGTTCTCCTTACCAGCCTGGCAGTTGAGGCAGCAGAGACCCTGGTGGAGGTACTGCTGGTTCTCCAGACAGGTTCTGTGTCGCAGCGTCCGGTTCCTGTCATCGCCGGACCACTGGGCCGCCACCACGCCATTCAGCTCTGCCCAACAGCACACCAGCCCAGAGCACAGCAGGAACACCACCACCTAGAGGATAGAGTAATGGTGGGAGAGAGAGGGGGATATGGAGATGGAGGAGAAAGTTTCATTTATTTATTTAACCTTTAGTTAACCAGGTAAGTAAATTAAGAACACATTCTTATTTACAATGATGGCCTGGAAAGAGGTGAGGGTCAGTGCAGCAAGAGAGAGAGCGAGAGAGTGAGAGAGAGAGAGAGAAAGAGAGAGGGAGAGAGAGAGAGAACAAGAGGGAGGGAGGGAGAGGTTCACATTACCAGGCTCACTCTCACCCACCCACCCACATTCAGAGAGCGTGAGGAGAGAGGAGAGTATGTGTTCTCAACAGAAACCTTGATTGAGCAATCTGGGCCCTAATTTGAATCTGATCTGGACATCTGCAGAGGAAAGCCAATTAGGAGAGCCGGCCAGAGTTAGAAAACAGAGACAGGACAACATAACATGTGTATGTACACAGTAGGGCTGTCCCCGACAAAAAAGAAATCACAGTCGACCGAAGGTAGCCTGTTCTTTCTACCAATTGATTGGTCAACATTTTTAAACGTGTATTTTCCATATATAAAATCAACTATATGCATTGAGCTTGTCTGATGCTTTAAGCTTACGGTTTGATGAAATAAGACAAATGCCTCAAGAGGGCGCCAGAGATCTAGATAACCAGAAGAAAAAAAACGTAACCTGACCCAACTATTCTTCTCCCGCTCCTGCTGGCTGTCGCAAATTCTGCCATTACTCTCCTGAAGTTGCCGGTAATAGGCTACACGAGGAGTCGGCAACCTTTCTCATGTGGAATGCCAATTTATCTTACAATTTCTACCGATCTGCATGCCAGTTATGGGTTTAAAATGCAAATTTTCATGAAACAGTTTAATTTAAATTATAATAATGTCATATCTCAAAATCATTGTCTTGTGGTTAATCAAAATTATATCCAAATCTAAATGAAAATGATACAAACCTAAAAAGTAACTTATTTTGCCATATGCCAAATATGTAAAATAGCCTACATAAAGCCAACAAATAAAAACATTGCAGCGTGCAGGTAGAAAATATCCTGATAAAAAGAAATATCCTATAAATCACATTGGCTACACATGGCCTGTCTGCAACGAACTTGAAACATTGTATCAACTATTAACTTGGGTCCGGCTGAAGCTTGCCTAACGAACTTGCAACATTGTATAAAATATTCTGTGCCCTCAGAGTTTCCTATCCAGTATGCTCGGGACAGACACAGCTGTAGGCTATTTGCGCAAGGAATAAGAAACAGTGCTTGACTTGGGCTGGAGCTCACCGGAGCTGAGTACCGGCACCTCAAATGTTCTACTGCTTGAGCTCCTGTTCCTCTTATAGAATATTAGCTCAAAAGTATTGTGGAGCTCCTGCACCTAAATATAAACAGTACCAGCACCCAAAATGAGTACCGGAACCTGTTTCAGTCCAAGTCAAACACTGATAAGAAGTAATCAGGTAGGCCTATTTTATGACGTTTCCACTGGATCAGAGCATGACATTTTTCCCTTTCACGCTGAATGGTTATCGAAAGGGAGAGGGCTGGAAAGATTTTTCAAATACATTGAGGAAATATTGTAATTCCCAATGGATGTAAAAACAGATTTATTTTGCTTGCTGTTTGAGGTGAAGAAAACATTACTTTGAGAAGTTCCACAGGTCATTAGTGGTGGTGCGTTATGCCAATCAGAAATACTATCAGATCCCCAAATGGGCACAATTATATGCCTACATTTGCGCCCAGGCCAGGTAGGCTATAGGCATACTTCTATGCGTGCGCATCCTTACTCAACATTGACAGGAGCACTCCAAACAAATGACAATGACTAAATTGGCAAAACTAGTAAATGGAATGAATAAACCAAAACTTGTTTCTCACAAGTGTAGCATATGTTGTGCACTCTGCCAAAAACGTGTCCACTCCGACAATGAAAATGATAACGGGAAGACTGGAATAGTAATAGTGAATGCATTAACAGAAATGTCCATAACCAAAGTAACAAACATTATAGGAATTAAAGGTAAATGTACTACTGGAGATATATGTCATGGGGAATTGATATACACTAACAATCAAACACAAACAATTCACACAATTAAGTTATGAAACAATGAATGTGCACAAATTGGCGGGAGAGAGCGCATTCTGGAGAGAGAAGTGCATCTGGGCGCATGGTCAATCTGACGTCTGCATTGGCCATGCAGCATTTACGGTGATACAGCCTCAGCAGAAGTCATGGCATTCATACATCTTGCGTGTCGCGGACCAGTGCAGAGCTGTTGTCAAGGAAGTGAGTTTATGTTTTCTACAGGATGTACCGCCCCCACCTACTGTCAACCACTCATGTCAATGCGGAGCTATACAGAGCCCTCCGCATTGTTACAACATTTGGGAGGCGCATGGCGATGCGGTACAGAGCTCGATTTGGCCTCTGCATGCCTCTGGAAGCTCCGCAATTGCGTCACACCCTCCATATGGAGACTCCGACCACATTTTCGGATCATGCATACATTGGCTTTTAGTCTAGGCCTCAAGCTGTCATCAAGGCAAAGGGTGGCTATTTGAAGAATCTCAAATATAAAATATATTTTGATTTGTTACTACATGATTCCATATGTGTTATTTCATAGTTTTGATGTCTTCACTATTATTTTACAATGTAGAAAATAGTAAAAATAAAGAAAAACCCTTGAATGAGTTGGTGCTCTAAAACTTTGGACCGGTAGTGTATATATATTTGTTACTGCTCGACTAAAACTATCTCGGTCGACCAACTGCCTAACGACCAAACAATCGACCAGTCAACTAATTGGGGTCAGCCCTAGCATACAGGTTTACACCATGTAATGGTTTTAAATGTTTAATTAAAGTATGGAGTGCATGAGCCATTCAGTACAGTTGAAGTAGGATTCTGGCCATGTTGAATGGCCAGGTGGCATCACTGTTCTGGTGTTCAGAGAAGATCCTAGGGTTAAAGACATGATGGGAGTTAAAAACAGATTTTGGGAATTATGGTGGAGGTAATTTGTAACAATGTTGCTTCCGTCCCTCTCCTTGCGCCAACCTGGGCTCAATTTTTTTTTTTCACATAGACTAACAGACGCTTATGAGAGTTCAAAGCTCATCCAAACCATTTCAACCTATTCAAAATGTCATTTTGGTTAAACCTATTGTCTTGGACGACCATGATCCTCCCTAGTGAGGAGATAAGGTATCTTATAGCTAAAGCTAGCACGTTGCTGCCCATAACAGATTGATTCCCATCATCCCAGTAATCCATTCATGTGCTGGATAATAACAGGGCTTGCATGGATGGAGGGAGGGACAGTAAATAATATGGCGGAGCACTTTAGTGTGGCCCTCAGGCACAGGTGCTTGTTCACACGCCTTTTCATCGTGTCATTGTGAGAAGGCCCTATTCACGGGCGAACAACACGCTTTAGTTCCTCTACTTCAAATGACCCACATTCTTAAACCCGGGCTCTTTGACTGGGCTGAAATGCGACACCACCATGAACCGCCTCGGACGTAACGCGACACCTTCCCGTCTAAATGAGCAGCCTAGTTTTGGCTCTCTTGTACCCCGCCCTATCCAACCACCCTCAAACCCCCATACCTGGCACACAGGGTTCAGTTTAATCAAACCCATAATTTCCCATGGTCAAATTAAATCACAGATATATGGAAGTCACTGAGCACAGTTACATGTACACAATAATACCATTATTGTGGATAGTCAGATTAATCTAATAATTCATTTAAAACATTTACATGCTTTGCAAGAAGAACGATGTCCCTAATAATCCTGTTTACATGGAAATCAGGCTACTGATGGAACATTTGTTAATGCAGAAAATCGCCAATCAAAATAAACTTTCTACCACAGTGACCATGTTATTTTTGTGAAGCCTATTTGATTCTGAGATTGGACATATAAAGTTTATTTGTGAAAACTATTTCTAAGATGCATACTTTCAGTTTTTCACACATAAGAGGGAGGCTTGTGCTACGGGTGCTGGCACATGTGCAGATCAAATATACCACTGGAACGCTGATTAAGCTGTTTACATGTCCTAATCATTTGAATGATTGTTCAGAAAACCAGGTATTTTAATCGGCATACGCTTACTTTGATTTTGACCTTATGCCGATTAAGATAAACTATGTAAGGTGTTTACATGACTATTTCCATATTCGGCCTACTGCCACAATCAGTTTAATATTGAATTATTAGTGTGCATGTAAACATACTTACAGATTTCGGGTACTATAAAAACGTGTAGTACCAATACTTATTTTCAGAATAAGTCTGTGTGTGCACGGGTAGTAGTTGATAAACTAAGACACTGGAGAAACATACACTCTTAGAAAAAAGGGTTACAAACGGGGTTCTTCGGCTGTCCCCACAGGACAACCCTTTTTGGTTCCACATAGAATCCTGTGTTCTACATGGAACCCAGAACGGTTCTACTTGGAACCAAAAGGGTTCTACCTGGAACCAACAAGGGTTGTTCAAAGGGTTCTCCTATGGGGACAGCTGAAGAACCCTTTTAGGTAGCACCTTTTTTCTGTGTGTAGCAACGGTTGCAATGGTATTATAAAAACTCCACTTTGTCCATGACAGCCAACAGAGGCTCATCATAACACACCCCTTCTTACATGTGTCTCTTGGGGTCAATCTTCTCCAGGTGAACCAGGGGGATTCCTGGAGCACTAGTGGGTTTTGACTCCTGACTCAGACAGGCTGGAGTTGACTCCTGACTAACAGACTGGAGTTGACTCCTGACTAACAGACTGGTTGACTCCTGACTGTAACAGACTGGTGTTAACTCCTGACTAACAGACTGTAGTTGGCTCCTGACTGGAGTTGCTTCTTGTCAGACTGAGGTTGACTCCTGACTGACAGGCTGATGTTGACAACAGAGTTGACTCCTGATTCTAAGCTCCAGTCTCTCCTCACTTGGTTCTCTGGAAGGCGGCCATGTCTTGTTGTTCACAGGGAGTTTCCTGGCCGGTGCAGCGCTGCTGTGCAGCCATCAAGCCTCTTGATGGCTCTCTCCTTCTCCCCCCTCCCACCTACTTTCCCTGTTCTCTCTGCTCACGTCAGACTTTCCACAGTCACGGGGAGGCAGAGTGGAGGGGCCGACGACCAGCAGAGCACTCACAATCACACCATTTTGCTTTATCCAAACACAGAGCCTCTTCACACCTACTACACTTTTCATAAGAATACCGGCAACTGCACATATTACTCAAATGTAAACTTGCATATTTGCTAGCTAACGATCACTACCTCCGGAGGTTGCCTTGAAGCAGGGCAGTGCGAACAGAATTGTCTCGTTGAGCCAACCCTCCTACAGTATAAATGGTAATAGCAGAGCAATGTTTTTGAAACAGCTGAAATGTAGACATTTTCCTAACATTTGAGACTTGTTTTATTGAGTTTTTACCAGAAATTGCAGTAACAGCCTGTTACATTCTGAAATTGTCGCAGTAGCTGCCGGCTGCACTGAGCCACGTAAAACGATGGAAGCCCATCCCCACCACCAAAAACATGTCAAATGTAGATCATACAAATGGGATATGTTTTTTCATTTTGTAACATTATGTGGTGATTTCAGAGGTGGCACCACAGGTCCCAGACTGGTGGGAGGAAATTGCTTTCCTGGGGCCCAGAGTTCTTTCTGATCTGGTTGTAGGCTAACCTAACCAACTCCGGACCCTTGTTGTAGCGTATGACATAGTAATAAATCAGTTGTAAAAAGGGCTTTCGATGGGCTATGTGGGACCAGATTATTTTTCTAATCAGGTCAAATGGTTAAAAAAAATAACTCCTGGAAAAATTCCTGGCCCTAGGGAGGTTGAAAACATTAAAACCCTTAACACAGACAAAGAGACAACAACTGCGATTGGACAATACAACTAACATGGCTGAGCTTGCTGTATGCAGGGTAGTATTGTGTTGGCCTTTGCATCTATAATTAAAATATACTCATACAGTATGTCATCACTATTGTGTTGATTGATTAATTCCAGTCAATAATTTTGGATTAAAAAGACCTAGATAGCCTAGCAACCCGAAGTTTGAATATAAACCAAATTTGATCACGTTCACATTTTCTCACAAATAAATGGGCTATTCTAGGCTATAAATACATAGCTTAGGCAATAAAAACATGATGTTACGTTTCCCCTGGCCAGGCCCAGATGGGATCAGAGCGCATAGGCTTCTCCAGGCTACCTGCAGCTGGGGTTGTTATTAGCAGGCTACAGTTGATCAGACTGAAGAACAGACTAATTGTGCACGTTGACAAATCATGATGCATTTTATGTAATTTCTTTAATGGCGGGTATGAGCTTCCATATAAAACAGCTTGTCGCAGTGAATTCACTTATAGCCATGTTTTCAGTCGCAATTTGCTTTTACCACATAATGATTTGCATGATATTGATAAAAATGAAGCCTGGTTTGTTGTAATGTTGTAAGGTATGCTTACTGTACTTTTACATTCGTATGAGAGGGTTAATCGTTCATTTTTGATAGGATAATGTTACTTGATGAAGACATGCTGTTAGCAACTCTGTGCTTTTGTCTTGAAGCTAAAATGTCACGAGTGTAGCCTACAGATGAGAAACTAAACCCTTTAATTGTCTGCACATGCTTGTGAATTGTTGCATTATTCAAGAGCGTAATATGGTTTGGTTGCATTATTCAATAGCCTAGTGTAATATGTTTTAGAGGAAATGTTTCTGTCATTGTTGAATAGTTTGTGCTTACTGGCTAGTTAGTGGCTACTGTGATATTTTCGGTCAATTTGATCATCATGGTCAATTTGAGCTGCGGACCAAGAATGTCGTGTTGTCAGCCATGACAAAAGGTAAGGCAAGGATGTAATGTGAATTGAAAAGTAGAAATCTCTTTCACCACTCCGCTCCAGAGACTCTCTTTCATATCTCGTAGTGGGAATAGGGCTATAGTGAGAGAGAAGATGCAAAGAGAGAAGGGGGAGAGAGAGAGAGCAAGAGAGAGTGCAGGCACAAACAGAGAAAGAGCAAGAGGGGGAGAGAGGAAAAGAGAGGTACTAACAGGTTGTAAGATTGTATAGAGGGAGTAAAATAGTTGAGTGTGTGACTGAGGCCATGTGAAAAAGAAGGCGAGCGAGGAAAATGACAGTGTCCAAGTATGTGTGCATTTTCTGAAATTTGTGAGAGGGGAAAAACTCAATTAGGGAAGAGAGAGGAGAGCTTGAGCCATGCATTGGAACCACATCATATAAAAATAAGTAGTGAAACCATGACGAATCCCACAGACAGTAATCAGGCTTGCTTAGAAGGGTAACCATGGTTATGTGCCCAATCAAAAGCCAGGTGGCCTGTCTATACTGGAAAACACACACACACACACACACACAAGCAGGGCTGCTGAACGGTGACATCATATCCTGTCTGAGTGCATTCCTGGGCCTGTGGATCACTAGATTGCGCCATGCAGCAGCCATCCCATCCTCACAGACAAACCTGTTCTTCTCTCAGCAGTTTATAGGCACCCCACAGAGGGAAAAGGCCACTTTATGGGGAGGAGGAATATCTAACAATGGAATTTTCCCATTGAGTCATGACCATTAGAGAGTGAGAGTTTCTTGTGTGACTGAGGTTTGCTGCTCAAGCGTTGAATTGGGAAAAAAGTATGTATTCTGTACAAAATGACTTCCGAACATATACATTAAGCTCTTGGTATGAAACTGAGTAGACAGTAGACTGACATATTGTACAGTATCAAGTCCTAAATGCAGACATCAAAACCTGATCGACCAACATTACAGCTACAAAGTGGTTCTTTCCTACAGGCCTTAGCACTTTTCACACACTTTTTGTGTTTTTCATATTACACTGGTTATTTCCTTGTAGTTACAGTACCCTGGTATTTTATATTTTATTTCACCTTTATTTAACCAGGTAAACCAGTTGAGAAGAAGTTCTCATTTACAACTGCGACCTGGCCAAGATAAAGCAAAGCAGTGCGATAAAAAACAACAACACAGAGTTACATATGGGGTAAACAAAACATAAAGTCAAAGAATACAACAGAAAATATATATACAGTGTGTGCAAATGTAGCAAGTTATGGAGGTAAGGCAATAAATAGGCCATAGTGCAAAATAATTACAATTTAGTATTAACACTGGAATGATAGCTGTGCAAGAGATGATGTGCAAATGACTGCCTTGCCTGGTTCACCAACTACTTCTCAGATAGAGTTCAATGTGTCAAATCGGAGGGCCTGTTGTCTGGACCTATGGCAGTCTCTATGGGGGTGCCACAGGGTTCAATTCTTGGGCCGACTCTTTTCTCTGTGTATATCAATGACGTCGCTCTTGCTGCTGGTGACTCTCAGATCCACCTCTACGCAGACGACACCATTTTGTATACATCTGGCCCTTCATTGGACACTGTGTTAACAAACCTCCAAACAAGCTTCAATGCCATACAACACTCCTTCAGTAGCCTCCAACT